AAATTTCACTGGCAGTAATTGAACTTCGAGAGAAATTTCAATTTGGTCACTAAAATTAAGTCAATAAGAGCATGTTTGGCTTGGTTTATAAGCTGGTAAACTATCTTATCAGCCAAAAGCTCATTCACTATTGATGCATAAACTCTGGATGGTTTATTGATAAGTGTACACGCTTATTCGTACTTCTACGCTAGACAAATTATGGCTAACTTGAGTGGATATTTATCTAATCTAGTGTGATTATGTTCATTATTGAATAAATCCCGACTTGGATGTAATTTAGCATGAATAAGTGTTATTTTGAGCCTAACTGGAGTTAACTCTAAGCAATTGAAGATCAATTTGATTGCATGGATCAATATGGAGCATTAACATAACAATAGGAGGAGATTTGCAAATTTCAAGAGCTAAATTCAATATTTGAAAAGTTTGAGGACTAAATTATAAATTTTTAAAACTTGAATCGGATCATTTATAGTTGATTGAGAATCAAATTGTGGAGATTAAAGATGAAAAACTCGTGGTACAAATAAGAAGGGATTCTCAACCAAATAAGAAATTCAAGGACCAAGCTTTATGGGAAGTAACTAGGCTGGTTTATGCAATCGCATAGGTAAATTCAGTACCAGTTTGTTTAATGTTAAAACTAAGTGATAGCATTCCGAGACATGAAAGATTTTGTTTCCAATTTTGATTTAACTTCTCTATGGAAATTATTTAGTATATGAGATTTGACCTATTTATTTGGGTTAGAAATACAATAATTCAAAAAGGTTGAACCCCAATCTTAAGGGCCCCACCGCCCCGCCCTTGAAACATTGTGAGGGAGGTAAATCGCGAGATGTGTCCCAACAAGTCAGGGAACAAAAATTTGCTCGTACACTAGTACCCACAAAGAGTTCAATTCCATATCTCAGGAATTGAACTCCCACACTGCGACTGTCAGTAAGGCTGAGACTACCTCACTCCTGTCCTTTACACCACTGGGTTATGCCCCTGGGGGCGAAATACAATAATTCGTCTTTCATTCAAGGAGGAGAATCTTTTGAATAAAAAAGATACACTTCTTACAAGTTTTAGTGAAGGTTTTGATGCTACACATAATTTTACATAAAATTCAAACATCTTTGCTTGGATTTTGAAGGAAGAGGATATTCAAGAAGATTAATCAAGAACCGTTCAAGGAATTCAAGGATTCAAAACTATTTTTCATCTTCTTTCTACAATTCAATTTCAGATGATGTTTTATCAATCCAATTCGTGTTTTGTACTCATATGGTGCTCGACTCATTATATAGACACTAGGAGAATGATGCACATTGTACTACGAAGTTTTGACATTAAAAATTCTAGATTTTGTCATTAGTTTGCTTGGTTTGAATAATTATTAGGGTTTATGATTTTCCATTAACTGGTGACTAGTTGAATTGATAAGTGATTTTATTTACATTCTGGAGAATGAATATGGTTTATTGGATGCAATAACAATCATTGTTAAGTCCAATATGTGACAGAGATATATCGTTATACTTTGTATAATTTTATGAATGTTCTTTTGTGATTTAATGCTACTTAATATATTGATGTCCTTTGTAGAGATATGGTAGGGTCGTATGTGAGGATATATCAAAATGAAAGAATGTATGTGGATTTAAAGTCCTCATTTTACCATTTTTCATTTTAGGACATCACATAGCGAGTAAGTGGAAGATTAGTAACACGTAACTAAAACATTGTGATAATTAGATTCTGAGCCCCGACAACATTCAACGTTAACACTTTTGGATTTTATTATCCTCCAAAGCGAGTACGTGTAATGTAATTAAAATCGTTATTAGTCTTATAAAATCACTTAGCACCTACAAATGATATAATTATTCGGTAGTTGTACCATGATCAATGAATCTTAAGAAAGGATCCAATGATCAGTGTAGTAGCATCGATATAGCCAGATCTCTTATACCATTTTAAACATTTTGTGATTTTTTGAAGATTTGGATGATAATCATCATGCATATATTGGGATGGGGCAGGGGCAGCTCAAGCAAGCATGATTGCTCAAGGTGCATTTTTTTAGAATAATAATAATTATAATGGAGCAAACAATCACTAAATGAAACTTCATTGACATAGATAGAAGATATTATCGTAGGAGATTTAAAGAGTATTACTGTATCGATAATTCAGATGAAATTACGAAGAACCATATATTCGATGATCATCAATATACCTCCTTTAATGATTAGTAAAAGTGTCGTTAATGATGTCAGCAACCAACGACAATGTTTAGATCTCTAGCAAAAACAGTGGGTAGCACTCACACAAAATTTTATTTTCTAACTTCTAGTCTTTTTGTCTAGAGTAGCCCTTGTTTGATTGTTTGAGCTCTATTTTTTCAAACTCATTTTTAACTACATATTCTCTCATAAAATAATATTACAAGTAAACTCAAAATTTTTTATACTTTTTATCCACATATATATATATATATATATATATATATATATATATATATATTTTAAATATTATTTCAAAACTTAGGGTGCGTTCTCTTTGTTGTTTTTAGTCATTGTCTGTTTTCGATTTTTCAAAACGGTAAAAACATGATCTCTTTCTCGTATTCAAAAATGAGTTTTTGAAAAGAAAAAAATAAAAAAAAATTGTGTTGAAAACAAAAAATGATGTTTTTACTGTTTTGGATGTTTTCTGTGCAAAATTTGAAGAACTCGAAAAACGCTCTCATTTTCAAGTCTCTCGTCTCTCTCTCTCTCTCCTGAAAGCTCGAGCTCTTTTAGTTAGAGTCAAAATGAGTCAAAGCCCAATCAAAATTTGGAGGCTTGACTCGAGCTTTCCAGCTCACGAATCTTCTAAATTTTTTATTTTTATTTTTTAAACTCGTGAAATATTCATATCAAGAAGTCAAACAAGTTATTCTTCTGGACTAAAATACAAAAAAAAAAAAAATTATTCATATAAATACGAAATATATGAATTAGAGTACAATTTTCAAGTATATAAATATTATGATATACACTTGTAGAATTAAAAATATTGGAACAAATACTATCTTTTAAGTTTTAAAATATTGGAATAAATCCTATTTAATAAAATTTAAAATTTATATCAATAAAATATGACGAAAATACTAATGAATATGATAATAAATTATAAATATAGATAGTTGTAGCATTATTATGAATATTAATTATATAAACATATTTACACATAAGTCATACTTTATTGATTTAAATCTTAAGTTAAATATTAATAAAAAAAATTGACGATTGGCAATGAGTCGGGCCGAGCTTATGACACGTACCATTTTCACGAGCCGACCAGTGGGGCTTGACAAGTTACATGGGTTTGGCTCTATTCTATCGATTCCCGAGTTGAGTCGGCTTGAACTTTTTTTGAGACGAGCCGTTGGTCACCCCAATCTAATGGGCTCATTTGCCATCCCTACGGCAAGTTGCGCTAATGGTTTGGATTTGACATGGCAAAAAAAGTCGGGTTAATAGCAAAAAATGTCCCTACGTTTGACACTTCTTGTGGAAAACGTTCATACGTTTCAATTCTTTGCATTTTCGTCCTTATTTCAACGTTTCATTGTAGAAAATGTCATTTTTACCATTTTTAATGTAAAATCACCAAAATACCCTCCTATTTAAAAAAAAAAACCAAAGAAAAGAAAAGAAGAATAAATAATATAATTACAATCTTACTTCTAAATATTTTAAAAAGTGCAAATGGGTCCAAATAATTATTAAAATGTTTAATAGCACAAAACGTTCCTACATTTAGTATGTAGTGTACAAAACGTCACTACGTTTCAAATTGGTGAAAATGACGTTATTCACAATGAAACGTGAAAATATGGATGAAAATTTAAAAAAAAAATTGAAATATAGGGACGTTTTTCACAACAATGTTAAACGTAGAAACGTTTTGTGTTATTAGACTTTATTAAAATATTAAAAATAATAAAAAAAACTCTCTCTCTCCTCACTCTTCTTCTCCAAATGGGTCCATCACTTTAGAAGTCAAAAAACTCCAGCCAAACTGCTGGACCACCATATCTCTTAAAAGCCTGCACTTCATTCTACACATATCACCCAATATCTAATTTTGAAACCTTCATGCCAATAGATTTGTTCGGAATTGCAAGCCAAAATATTTAACTCGAGAATGCAAATAATGTCAACTCCACCTGTTCTGGAGAGATTCGTGCCATTTCTAACACACCAATTGACTATATTCACCAGGGCGCCTCTATTCATAGTCTTAAAGCATCAATAGTCGATTTAGCGGTATGGAGGTTTGACGGTTTGGGCAATTGTTGGTCAGAGTTTTTTCACTTCTAATGTAACAGACCTATTTAGAAAAGAAGAGATGAGAGAGAGAGTTTTTTTTAAATATTTTAATAAGGCCTAATAGTATAAAATGTCCCTACGTTTGACACTTTTTTGCGAAAAAGTCCGACGTTTCAATTTTTTTTTTATTTTTTACATTTTCATCCATATTTTCACGTTTCATCACGAAAAAGATCATTTTTACAAATTTGAAACGTATGGACATTTTGCACACTACAAGCCAAAAGTAAGGACGTTTTGTGCCATTAGACTTTTTAATAATTATCTGGACTCATGTGTACTTTTTAAAACATTTAGGAGTATGATTGTAATTTATTCTTTATTTTTCTTTTCTATTTTTGTTGTTTTATTTAAATAGGAAGATATTTTGGTTATTTTACATTAAAAAATGGTGAAAATGACATTTTCTATAATGAAATGTTGAAATAAGAACGAAAATTCAAAAAATGAAACGTAAAGACATTTTACACAATAAGTGTCAAATATAGGGACGTTTAGTATTATTAACCCCAAAAAAGTCCTATTAGGTATTTATAGGGACAATATGGTAAATATATAAAATAGCCGACAAAATCAAACGAACATAGTTTCGCGGCTTTGTATGTTGGGTAGTGCAATTCTGACAATATTCCCTGTGTATATCTTCCTCCAATGCAGTGCTCTCTTTATTTTACATTTTTTGGGCGCTGTGATTTAAATCTCATTACATTATACTAGTAATCAAAATCAAATACTAAAAATCTCTTCACTTTAACCTTAATTATTATCAAAATCCAAAATTTGTTATCGAAATCTGCATAATCATTAGTCACTGTCAATTTTTCGCATTTATTGCTTTCACGTTTTAAGTCTCTGCTCCATCTTTTCTAGGGTTACATCTTCACTCTCCGATAATGCTGATTTTGTGGGGTTTTGCTTATATCATGAGCAATGGAGCTTGAAAAGTTTACTCAAATTCAATTTGTAAGTGATTTTTGCATTTTTTTTCCCAGGTTACTCAGACTAAAAACTGATTTTTCCTCGTGGTTTTACTTACAATTTTTCGTGTTTGTTTTTCATCTTCTGGTGGGGGTATTCGGAGGATCAAGATGATGTTGTACAGGAAAAATGTACTTTTTTTAGGTTAGTTATTAGTGGTTTTCATTTTCGTTTCATTTTTTTTTTTTTTTAAATTTCAGGGAAGAACAATTATATTGCCGTTTGAAGGTGTGTCCTGGCTTCTAAAATTTATGGGTTTCCATCAAGTTCCATGAATCTCTGTCTTTTGGAAAGATTCGCTTATATTGGAATTTTGATGATTATCTTTCCTGGTAGATATGCTCAGGGTTAAAAGGGGTACTTTTTATTTATTCTTGATAAAGAATATAATATGTTCTTTATGCAAAGTGGAGTACATTTTTGTTCTAATGTAGGTTTTGAGTGATCACTGAAAAGAAAAATCAATTTGTCGTGATCAGGTGAAAAGAATTTGTGAATCAGAGAAAAAGGATAAGTTGGTAGAGTTAATTTGGGCAACCATTCAGACATGGATTTCTTCAAACTGAAGAAGTTTAGAAAGGACCACAAGCCAAATCAGGAACTTGTTACTGAGCCAGTGCTGCATCCGGAAGAGCCCAAAAAAGACAGTGGCGATGCATTGGGTAAATCGGTTAATGCTGATTCAACCAATACTGAAAATGAAGACGATGATGATGATTTTATCACAAATGAGGTAAAGAGGAGGCTGAAAGTTCTGCGGCAAAACAGTTTTATGGTGTTGATACCTGAGGAAACAGCTCCAGAGGACGAAGATGGAGAAGAAGAAGAAGAGGGGGAGACCAGCTCTTGTGAGTGGAGGGATGTTGAGGCTGAAGGCCGACAGTTCTGGTCTGGGTTTGATGCTGTGTATGACAAATACTGTGAGAGGATGCTGTTTTTTGATCGATCCAGTGCTCAGCAGCTGCTGGAAGTTGGTAATAACTTTGATTACTCCGAATAAGCTTGCTTTCCCGACTAATATATTTATGGATCTATTTCTGTATATTTATTAGTGTTGGATATCTATAGCTTTATAGTTAGTATTTACATTGCAGATTAAATCTGATCGCCAGCATATTCAGTATCATGCATTTAATCAGGCTTTTGCATGTTAAATGCTATTGTCAAAATCGTGCTAGATCACTTTTCTAGTTGCTGGTTAGCATGTTAAACATTTTAAATGACCTTATTTACGTTTAACCGACCAGTAGGCCTTGTGATTGGTACTTGCGGCATTTCCTTTTTCAGTTTGGAGCAAGATCTTGACAGACTAAATGTTCGTTCTCTTGAAATGATTGACAATAATGAGCCCAAACTATATTTCTGCTGCCTCATTTCCAACCGTCGCTTGTTCATTATAAAACGGTATTGTGACACTTGGTGCCTTGAGATAAATGCCAAAGTTTTATTCTTTTGTTCTTCCTTTTTTAGTGCTTTGACTCATGTGGTTGAGGCTGATTCTCTGGCTGTTTCTCAATCTCATGATAGCATTTAAATAATATTCTTTTGTTTGGAAATAGCTTGATTCTCTCTCGGAAGTAACCCCGGAAACAAGAGTGATTTCACCATGTAGGGCACTTTCTGGATCATAATTTGTTTTTTCCTCGACAATAGAGCCTGATAGTAAAGGTCTTATATTCTATAGCTTCTTTTCCATTTTACATCTCAATGGATCCTGAGGATAAAAAATCTTGGTTTGAAATGAAACCTTTTGCCAAGCAACCCATATGACACGGAATAAGCCCAATATTATCCTTAGAGAGAAAATGTGCATACTCAAAAGTTCCTTACTATCCAGAAAATGTGCATACTCAAAAGATCCTGACTATCCAGAAACCGATACTTAGTCTGTTACGTCTAACAAATGGTTTTTCCAGGTGGCCTGATTTCAGAATTTCTTCACTTGTACTCCAGGTGTTCTTTTTCCATTAATAGTCAATTTTCCCTTTTGAAGGGCGCTTCTGCTGTGATTATTTTGCTTTGCTCCCTCAAATATGAAATACACCCACCGACTCCTGCTATTCGGCAGCAGGTAATTGGAGATTTTTTTTACCTCACCTCCCTATATGTGGGTAAGTTTGTCATTTTACAGTTTCATGAACTTGAGGACCTATGAAACACAGATACTCCTACGAGGGTCACGTGTCCATATCCAACGGGCATCCCACCGTGTTGGATACTGACACTCATTGGTCACTCCATTATAGACAACTTTTAAAAATTTAAATCAATGTGTCCTCAACTTGTCTCGTCTCGTGTCGCATCAGAGTTGTGTTGGCTTGTTCGAGTTGTATCGTTAGCTTGGAAGGACACGGGTTACAGTGTACATCGATTTTGCATTTTGAACGTCTCTAATTCGAAATGGAACGTGAACCACTCATTGGCGCTATGTAATTAAAAATCTTTCCTATTTCTCCTGATGTCAATGATTAACGATGTGTAACCGGTTTGAGAAATGATGCCTTTTGTATATGTATCGCTTAAGACTTCTGATGCTTGAAACAGGTTTGCCACAGTTTTCGTGGTTGGATGCTCTTATTCAGCTTCTCGCTTCATTATTCCTTATGTAAAGTTGATTAACTTGAACATTCTTCATCTTGCTCATGACATGCGATTTGGCTAAAAATGGGTAGGTGAAAAGCCTAGCTTCTTGGGGATAATTTGAAAACAATACGATGACTGATAGTCATACGTTTATCCTAGTCATACGGCAAAATGAGGCCTATGATACTTTGTTGGATAGCTCCCAGAACTAAGTTTCAAGAAACATTTCTGTCATGGAATTTGTGCCCAAATCAACTCTGGGCAAAGGGCCAAATTGTCCAATCTTTGATGGGTAATCTTAATGCATCACATGGGCAAATATATGGTTAACAAGTATTTCATGTTTTTGTTCTATTTCTCAGTTTTTTGTATCTTAAATTTATTAATCAGTGAAATTCTTTTCTTAACTTATGTACATCAATTTTTCAAATGTTTCAGGCTCTTGTGTTCTCTCAACTCAGTCACCAAGATTAGCATCTAAAAAGCTTCCATCTCCGCTTCGATGCCTTTCGTTGAAAAAATTTGAAGAACCAGAAGACGAAACTGAACACTTGCAGAAGCCTGAAAGTGATCCATATCAGGATCTTGAAACAGCATATGTAGCACAATTGTGCTTGACTTGGGAGGCACTTCACTGCCAATATACACAACTGAGCCATAAAATATCTTCCCAACCTGAAAGTTCCACCTGTTACAACCATAGTGCTCAGCAGTTTCAGCAATTCCAGGTTTTATTGCAGAGGTTTATTGAAAATGAACCATTTGAGCATGGGTTAAGACCAGAAATCTATGCTCGAGCAAGAAATTCTTTACCTAAACTGCTACAGGTTCCAAAGATCCAAGGTGTGCATGAATGTTCTTAAATTGTTTTTAGTCATAATTTTTTTCCCATGCCACGTTGAACCGAATCATTCTTCTATTGTGAATTTGTATATCATACTTCTGATATTCTTAACGGGCTTAAAATTGGATTGTGTTACTGGTTTTCCTGAACAGTCTTCCTTATGAGTTTAGGTTCTGATGAGAAAAGGACAGGAGAAGAGGAGTCTGATTGTGTGGTACTTGCCCCTGATCTAATTAGAATTATAGAATGCTCAATCCTAAGTTTCCGCCAATTCATGAAGATGCATAAGAAAAAATTAGGTGGCTTCCGTAATTTATTTGGAAGTCAGAACCAGAGGGCTACTCCACTTCAACAGATTCAATCATCTCATGAGAAGGTGAGCTCAATCTTCCATGGTTATCTCTACTCTGTTAATCCATTCAACTGTCAGTTTGATTAGGCACATTTTCTCTGGTCCTTAATCGACTCAGTGTTAAGTCACATCTGCTTCTTTCTTTTGCTCTTTATATTTATGTTTTTACACTTTCTTATGTATCTATTTGTCACAAAATTAATAAAAAAATGCCAAGACAAATATAGGACTTATGACTACTAAAAACGCTTCATAAGAATTTAAGCAACTGTATTGAATATGCTACAAAAGGATGTTATAAATCTGAGCTTGTGGTAGCTATAGGAGTTCTGAAATTATAAAGACTACTGATTTTTAGTTATAACAAACAAGATGCAGATTATAGGGTAAAATGAAACTATGTTGCAGCAATTATCTTCTCAACTTTAAAGTCTGAATCAAATTTTGACAATGATTTGTAAAGAGGGATCTTTGTAACAAGGATGTTGTAATAATTTCTAGTAATGCAAGTAAATTCAATTTATGAGATAAATGTTGAAATTAACTAACTGGAAGATGGAGGAAATAGTGGGCAAGCTATCGGCTAAATTTGGAGACCTGAACTGAACTGTTGGCAGGTAAAGTTCTTTGGGAACAGTTATAACTCAGTCCATATTCTTTTAGTGCTAATTAATTAGGCTTATTGGGACCTATAACTTCATTAGTCATTTATGATTGCTTTAGCCTTCTTGTACTTTGTGTTCATTGTATGATATTCTTAAAAAAAAGGAAAATGAAAATGTGAATATGATCTTATGGCGTGAAGGTATCCTCGGATACTTGATAAATCTCTTGCTAAATTTTGAATCTGAAAAACTGCAGAAAGAATTGAAACTGAAGGAACAATGGAAAAGAACGAAGAGCTATAAAAAGAAGTCATGGCCGAGTACACAAGAGGGCACGGAAATGTTGCTGGGACTTATTGATGCCAAAATTGTGTCACGGGTTTTACGAATGGCGAAGATTAGCAACGAGCAACTATTTTGGTGTGAAGAAAAGATGAAGAAATTAGCCATATCTGATGGCAAGCTGCAGAGAGATCCATCACCCATTCTCTTTCCCTGTTAGTCGTGAAAACCAGGTACAAAAGTGATATTGGATGTCAATGCAAACCCCCCCTTTTTCTTTGTGATTACATGCATTTAGGAATGGAATTTGTGATTTTGGTGAAGTGCCATGGATAACTTGTAGTAATTTTAAGGGAATGGATATAGTTCCTGCAATCGCAGAAGTATTTCTGCAATTTTGGTTTGATGAAATCTATTTGAACAGGCTACATAATACTTTTATTGTAACTGGTACTTTCTCACAAAGACATGGAGATATTTTGGTATTGTGGGAAATGTACACATGTTTTCTTGCATAATTTTATGGGATCTCTATCGTACGAGTAAAATACATGCAAGAATTGGCTCAAAAATTGAATTAAACAAAGTTGTCGCTGTGTCTCAAAACAACTTGATGAAATGACAAGCAATTGATGTTAGTACAGTGATAACTGGAATAATAATTTTGCTAAGCCCACATTTTTAGGAAATGAAAATGGGGGAAATAGTGTTTTTTTAGAAATGAGTGTTTGAAAAAAGAAGGAAAGGTTTTCGATTTACGTATAATATTATTTTATGAAAAATTGTGTGATTGAAAATAATAGATAGAAAAATGAAATGTAATAGAATTTAATGTAATGTGATTCAAACGGGAGCTAAGTCTGTGTTTGAGTCCCATTTGTTTTTAAAACTCATTTTTTCAAAACTCATTTTTAATTACATTCTCGTAAAATAATTTTATGCGTAAATTCAATTTTTTCTTTTTAATTTTTTAATCACATTTTAAAAAAAAGTCATGATTCCAAAATAACAAGGGTTATGTTTTAATTTATGATTTGAGGAGATGGAATAATTTAGAAGTTACTTTTACTATTTAGTCAAAGTTAAAATTTAATGTCAATCATACATTTAAATTACTAGTAATTATTATTCTTAAGCTCACCAAATCACTTAATACAGAGAATTTTTTTTTCACTTAAATGAAAAACTTAAAAATAATATCTACCTTAATATTTTTTTTTCCAATTTTACTCTAATCTCTCGTGTGGTCGAATTCAGTGCACCAAACATGCCCTCAATGTGTGTAAAATCTTGTGTTCAATCTCATAAATTTCAATCTCTAATGAGATGAGACATATTTCTTTGTTTGCTTTTATTCGATAGGAAGATATTGAATAATTAGGATCTTTACTATTAATCTAACAACTAACAATCATTTTCATGATGTGGTCTGGTTACTCTTCAGTTGTTTTTGTTTTATTTTTTTATATATAAATCAAATTTTTATTTTTCATTATGGTAAAAGTTGGAGAAACAGTACATATCAGTAATCATTTGTCTAAACATTATTATGTTCCATGATTCATTATCCAATTTATTAAAATATATTATAGCTCTATAGGATAATAAATTAGAAACCCTCTGACACGTAAACGGGTAATGAAGTAGTATTATTCTAAAAATATATGATTGGGTTCTTTGGTATGAAACATGTGATCTACGACGAGTAGATGCAGTTTAGGTAGCATATACCTAGGTTGTTGCTCCCTCTAAGATGCGAAAGAGATAGCGACGAGTCGTGACCATCTTTAGAGATAACGTTCTTTAGAGAGATCGGGTTTTGCTTTTGCCATTTTATACGTACTTCATACGCTATTTCTTCTCTAGTTATAATGAGTTTGATCGACTTTAATCATTGGCGGACCCACATTGGGTTTTAGGCTCCAAAATTACGAAGAAAGAGTATCCTTCCATTACTAAATAGTAATTGAATTGATTGTTTTTATTAGTAAATCTGTGATTATTGATAAACAGATTATTTTTCCACTCGAATTGATTGTTTTAATTGATTGTTTGTATCAAGTAAAAGTACTTTGAACGTAAGTCTTCATTTAAAGTATTGAAAATAATATAATTATGGAACGTTAGAACGCATAGAGAACAATTGTGATAAGATATCGAATATATTAAATTTTTAGTAACTTTTTTATAAGTTTGATTATGTCTCACTGACTTTAAATATCTACATCCGCCACTTACTTTAATCCTTTATTTATTTCGTCTAACGGTAAAAGATTCGAGAAAATCTAACTCCTTATTCCATTATTTGGCGTTGCAGAAGGACATAATTAAGTTAAATTTCTTGGGCTACCAAATGAGGAAAACTGACACACCGCCCAAAATCTCAACTCCACTGCAGTTCATGCATGCATTTCAAATCAAAGATCTTCTGCATTTTCATTCTCATAATCTCATCTTAGTTTATCTTATCTAGTTATCTTTTCAACCAATGTCTTCTTCTACCCCACTCTACCCCACCCCGTCAATTAAAATTAAAATGTTGTTATTCAGGTATACGATACATTTATGACTCGATTGATATTCATCATGACCCGATTTATAAAATTGTTCAAAGAGGGACAATAATTGATATGGGGTTTGATGTGTAGATGCATACTTGAACATGACTTGATCCACGAACAACTTGAACTATTGTAAATTTGGAAGAGAGACCAAAGTTGATCAAATAAAAATATTGAGAAATGAAAACTTTTATCTCGAATAGTTATTCTTCAACTAAACCTTCAAATGAGAAAGAAAGAAAAATAATAAGGTACTGTCTGGTAAAGATTTTCATTTCAATTAAAAGTAAATTTCCTACCGTTGCCACAGTTTTCAGCCGTCTTTTTTGACTGGAGCTCTCATGCGTGGGACCCACCTGCAACACTCAACGGTCAGCTTCTTGCTTTTCAACGGTCAAATTCTTGCTACTAATCTCCTCCAGACAGGCCCTAAATTACATAATGATGTTATGCACCTTAATTTACGAGCTTTGAACTTCAGTCTATCACCTAACAATAATAATTCTATGTAGTTCTACTGAGGTTACAACCTCAATCTAGATCTCGCTAGATGATAGAGCGAATGAAAGGTGAAATTAAATGATTTATTTAATTTCACCTATAATTTAATGTAACATTAACGTCACCTAAACTTGAGTTGTAATCCTAGTAGGATTAAATAGCATTACTCATTGCCTAAAGCAACAATTAAAATCCTAAATAATTTAATTGATACCAATAATGAGTTTTCGTAGTCTTTATCAATTAGTGTTGGTGTTGCTTCATAATTTTAACCACTTCCATTTTAGTTAAAGGCGTGTTTTAAATGGCATTGTTGATCGTGGCTTTGAAATAATTCCATTTCTACATGTGACTTCTCCTGACCGTTGGATTAAGGGCTATTTGGCTGCTTAATTTAAAAGGGCTTTTACCCTTTGTCTTCAGACGTTATTGTGTACGCAACTTTCATCCCTTTTTTTTTTCTTCTCCGAAAACCCTATGTGAATTTTGTGAGGTTTATGAGGCAAGAGTGAAAGTGCAAAAATCTGATCCTAACATTTTTACTGAATGATTCTTAAATTTTGATTCTTGTAACAGAGTCTAATTCACTTTATAGATGTTCAACGAGTGAGTAATATTTAGAGCACATGAACATTCAAATCTGTTAGTCGGTGAAAATTCTTATTTCGGTTTTGTATTTTGGATTAGAACTTGATTTGGACTAACAATTAGGAGTCAATAACTTTTACTTTAGCTAGCTTAAGGGCCTGTTTGAGGCACATTATTGGACAAAAAAAAAATTGAAAATTCTGACCATTAACCACATCCAGCCGATTTTGTTGACTTCTCATCTCTTGTGTGGGGTCCAACTGTGTGTGCAACGACTAGAATTTTTATTTTAATGAAGCAAATAATGTGCCCCAAATAGGGCCTTAGTAAGTTTACGTGATTTTTTTAGAAATACATCATTGATCAATGCGTACATCTTCTACTTCGAACGATACATCAATTAATGAACTTGAATTATTCAAAAGAATTCATTTATCGACTAATCCAAGTCCTAAGATGCAAATTGAAAGACTAGATGTTTTTTATTACAAGATAGTTAATACGTAGGCTCTCAAACCACCATAAATTAACAACTTTAATGGCTTCATTAAAGGATGACTCTCCATTACATGCATATGCCATCACATGTAAAGCTTTTGAAGTTCTACTTCCAGAAAATAAGGAGGAGTACTTATTGAATGATTGACCATTTAATATTAGTTGCTGACTCCTCGTCAAATGAACGAGTAACGTTAATTAAAAGTTTTGATAATCATTTATTCAATCTATTTCTTTAGCAAAAATTGGGTAAAAGAGTATTCTTTAGTGATCGTAGAGAATGTATAGACAACCATATTTTCATCCACTTGATGTGTAAGAGAGCTCTAATAAGTTTGCTCAAAGTTATCTATGGTGGCAACTCAACATTTAAAAGATGGGTGAAAGAGAGATATTCGTCTAATAGATTGAGTAGAGTGTGTGAATCGTCAACTTGTGAGTCATGAATTGTCCTCAGCATAAGCATTCATCCAATTTGGCCATATATAAGATGAGAAGCAAATACAAAAAACATAAGAGTTTGAGAACCAGTTGAACCGCGAGTTCAGATCTACTGTTCATCTAATATATTTTTAATACCTCGACACATCACTTTCTTTTTATCAAATAAGGAGTCGCCAACACAAATTTTAATACATCGACTCGTTGCGACTTTACATCTACACAAGAATTGAAACTACGGGATTGAGATATCAATCGAATCTATCAATTTCATATTGTTTAAATATGGTAAACAATGATTTCACTAGTTAGAAGCCGGATGAGAACATGAATCCAGGACTGACAATGGTTATGGGCAAGGTAATTAATTTTTAATTAAATGACAAAAACATTTTAAAAGGCCAAGTTGAATATATTTGAAAGATTGTTATTCAATTATTAAAATTGTGGAATCAGACGGATTTGTTGTGATGCCATCTTCCACGATCTTCTAAGCACTCCAAACCCAATAAACAATAAGCAAAGTACAAAGAAAGTAGGAATTATGCAATGAATGAGTTAAATTGCATTAAATGAGATTATAAATTTGCAGATACCAAGGACAGGTCCACTTGGAGTGTTAATACAAACTGAATATATTTAGGAAAATTTCATCAGAGGTCATCAAACTTTCAACGAAATTTCAATTGAATTACTGAACTCTTTTATTTATCTCGATTGGAATGCTAAACTAAATTTAGTTCCAAATTTCACTACTATGTCGTATGTCCATTTTATCACCTATTATGAGTATTATCCCTCAAACTGACATTGTATACTTGATAATTACACTATAGCTGATCTTCCGCGTTTGATTGTTACCTTAGAGACGAGAATGGTAAAATAAAGATTATGACAATAACTTGGAATTAAAAGGTTAAACACGCTTCAAAATATTACATGGATGATCTGGTGCGCTATGTCTATCAATTAAGCAATTTTCATCAATTTTAAGGATCGTTAGCGATGAAATGGTGAAATTTGAACTAAATTCAACTTTAGTAACTTGAAATTGAGTCAAAGTATCATAAAATTTAATGAGATTTTGCTGAAAGTTCAATGACTGTAAATGAAATTTATCATATATTTTAATATATATATACTTTCTAATAATTGCAATGACCATATTTAATTTCCACTAGTAAATATATTAATCTTAGATCTGAGAAAATTTAGTTTCCAAACACATAACACAGTTACTAAATATAGATGTACAATTTATCTCATCATATCTCTAATTTTCTCTACTTATTATTATAAGCTATTCTTTTAATTAATTAATTAATAGCTACAAATATAGAGAATACGTACAAGTACTACAGTCATTGCAAGACTTTTGAAACTAATTAATTAACATTAATAGATTAACAATAAAAACTGCAAAGCCCCAGACAAGGTTGTGATTCTGAGGCACCAAATTAATAATGCAACTAACGTAAATTGATGAATATTAAATAGCTTATAATTAATTTCTTACACAATAATTAATTATTTGCTCTCCCTATATATACCCACCACTTTCTAACATGCAGCATTCCATTCATACAACCTCAAGGAACTTTACGAAAAGTACATTCCAAGCTCTCTTTTGGTATAAGCACATATTATATGGATTCGAGGAAGTCGAACAAGATTAGAGAGATAGTGAGGCTTCAACAAATCCTCAAGAAATGGAAGAAGCTTGCCATTAAAAATAAGACGAGCTCGGTTACCTTAGGCAGCGGGAGTAAGAGCATCAAGTTTCTAAAGAAAACACTTTCCTTCACAGAAAGCTCGATTTCTTCGTCAATGTCAAGCGAACAAGTCCCGAAAGGGTATATCGCCGTCTGCACGGGGAAAGAGCTCAAAAGATTTGTAATCCCAATGGAGTATCTTGGACACCAAGCATTCAGGGTTTTGCTGAGAGAAGCAGAAGAGGAATTTGGGTTCCAACAAGAAGGAGTGCTTAAGATTCCATGTGAAGTCGAATTGTTCGAGAAAATATTGAAGTTGATGGAAGAAAAAAAGGATGTATTTTTCTTGAATGATTCATTGATCAGAAGCTGTTATTCACCAGATTGTGATCACCTAACTTCACCATCTCATCACCCTCAGATGTGTAGATGATTTTCTGCTAATAATAATGATGTCAGGTGTTCTGGTTTTACCCTTTTTTTGTCAAGGCGCTTGTATTGTTAATGGAGAGGAGACTTGGTTAGATTAAGGTTTTTGTTTTTTTTTTCCCTTCAATTAGTGAAAGGGAATGAATTTGTAATTCTCATTTACATGTATGTTGTTCAAGCAAAGGGCAATAAGATATTCTGTCAAACTCTAGCTACTTTTATTACTAGTAGTCTACTAGAACATTTGAAAAAGAATTAAACTCTTTTGCTGGAAAGAGTTTAACCACTTAGGTGACCTGTTCTCACTGTGCGTGGGATCCGCGTGAATTAAAAATGCCAAAAAAATGCTCCCCATGTGAGTACGCTGTCAGGGAGGGTGTGATGACACCCTAACAACATAGCATGATTCTTTAAAAAACTCCACCTCCACATAAGAGCAATTTAAGGTTGAATCGCAATCTTAAGAGCCCCCACCGTCCCGTCCCTGAAGCATCATGAGGGAGGTAAATTGCGGAATGTGCCCCAAAAGATCAGGGAATAAGAGCTTGTCCGTACACTGGTGTCCACAAAGAGTCTAATTCCATATTTTAGGAATCGAACTCTCACACTGTGGCTGTTAGCAAGGCTAATACTACCTCACTCTTGTCTTTTACACTACTGGATTATGTCCCGAGGGACTCCACATAAGAGCTATTTAAATCCAAGACAAGAGGGGGAGAGTTACGGGAGAGCTGTCGTGTCCCATTGCCATTCCTACTCTTTTCTTTATAAATTTCATTTGCAGCCTATAGCACCATAAATAAGTCAAGTTGGCTAATAGGGTCGAGTAACGAAGTGATCTAGCTAAAACGGAATTAAACGTAAAATTTCATGGACAAAATTGAGACAAAAGAAAGTCTAGTTTACAACTAAAGTGAAACATTATGTGAGCAACAGTTCTTTACTTATTTATATAGTACCTATATTAAACAACAATTTTATGTACATTTCAGGAAACAAATTAATTAAAAATTTTGTACATATGTAGTACACGTGAATTTAATAAGATTGAGTAATTAATGTATTCATTAATACAAACAAATTCAGGCCTCAATATGAGGAGTTAGATAGGATCATGTGCTCACAAGTTCCCGTAATTGTGTCATAATTAACCATGTGACATGTGCCTAAGAAAAAGGTAATGACTATAATTAAATTCAAGTTTACATCTAAAACAGTAATTAAATGTTTATATATTTGCAAATGGGTGCTTCTATCTTTGAGTTCCACGCCATTGCTATTACAACTATTAATTGTAGTTGATTTACATATTTGTGCATAGTTGATGTTTCAAATGGGCCGTAGCTGAAACTTACTGTTCCGCCCTTCTTGACATGCTATCGTGACAAGTCGACCCATGCTCATCTCACCAAAATTCCTTTAGATTGTCTTGGCCCAACACTGAGTGTGAGCTCGATTGAGAAGGTGAAGCACGCATTATTATCATTATTTTTTTTTTTGAAAACTTGAGCAGAGGTCTCAAATATTTGAAAAATATGTAGCATGGTTCAAAATCTTTTAATCCTAGCAGTTAGGTTCCAAATCTTTCAATAAATTAGCGATGAAAGGACATTTAACGATTTTCATCTGAAAAATTGTTAGTTAATCAAAAGTCAAACATGTAGCCTAAATTTGATCAATTTAATGTAGGACAAAATAGTCTTTTAATATTTTCTCACTCAAAACAATTAAAAAAAATAGATGCAAAAAAGTCCCTTTTTGAATGAGTAATGTTAATTACTTTCACTAAGGTTATATTCCCAATCTATGTAGTGTTAATTAGTAGGCTAAATAACGTAACATTAGTGCCACATCAACTGATGTTACTAGAGTTAAATAACATTACTCCTTTTGAATTTATTATCTCAAGGATGTAATATAAATTATTGTCACGTAATTGTAACCTAGCTTCAATTTCTATGCATGTACATTTGCATAATTTGAGCAAGATTATATACTAAGAACAACAAAATCTAATTTTGAAAAATCATATTCAACAAATAAGTATTTGACTTACTTTTCAACACAACCCGGACAAATGATATGGTCAGGTAATTCTTCTCTTTTTGGATGATGCAGCTGGCTCAGCATGTCGACTACGATAAGTTTGCTGTTGTTTCTTCTTCGACCTTCTCATTCCATGGTGATGTCGATGGTGGCCATGCCCTTGCTGCCTATGCATCCTAACAAACTTTCTCTTTTTACTCATCCTGCTATGCGACATCTCGATATCACTATATAACATGTTTGGCTTCTTCTCTTCTTCTTCTTCATCACATGAACTAATTGTATATCCAACTTCAACACCTTGAAATCTACGTCGACGACGACGGTTTACCCGTTCTACATTCTTTAGCTTATACCACAAAAAACATGTCATGTCTTCCAATGCAAACCAATATGCTTGACATGAACCCCAACAAATCTTAATCAGACTTCTCCCTATGCATTGACAGATTCCCACCTTGAACAGGAGGTACAAGAAAATCAAGGCTGAAAACACAAGAAAATTTAATTTTCCTTTTTGCATTAACAAGCTAGAAACTAAAGACGGAGAGAATGTACATTGAATATGCTCAAGATTTCAAGAACACACATGCTTGCAAATGGTCATAAACTTTAAAATGTTAATGCTTACCTCATTAGTCCTCGAAACCTATTCAGTTCACTAAAATTAACGGATATAACAATTTACCTAACAATATACGTAACGTTGGTCGTCCAAAAAAATCCATAGATGGTTCCCTTAAACACAACTTGTCGTCGACTAGAACAAACATGATCAGACTATACTAAGGCCTCGTTTGACATGATTTTTGCTTTTTACTTCCTATAAAAGAGCTTTTAGATGAGGTTATCTTAATTCTTGTTTGAAAATTAATTTTTAAAAGCTCTTAAAAGAAATCACATTGGATCAATTTTCTCTAAAACATTTTCTTATTATCAGAAAAACTTATATAAAATTAGCCAAACGAGTTCAAAAGCAGTTTTTGGATCTCAAAAATTTCTTTAAAACTTTCCAAAAGTCATGCCAAACAGACCAAAAATATATCTAGTTCAACAATAAACACTTTTCCATTAAAAATTACCCTGAATTTGCAAGTGCAAGTATGTCTAAATTGGATCGAGAGAAGAGAGTAGTTACTTAAAAAGCAAAGTCCCATAACCATCAACAATTGGAATAGATTGGAGAAACAGAGATGCTCTATGAAACATTCAACGTCCCATGTTCCTGAACAAACACCCCTGCAAAATCATAAACGCAGAATTTAGGGTTTTGTGGCAAATCAAACTATTTCAGAAATCGAAAAAAGTAAGTACATACTCGCAAGAGCTTCCAAAAAGTGATTTGAAAGGAGCCGCTAAAGCGTTACCAACGAGAGTTCCCACGCCATTAGCAGTATTACTCAATGCACTTCCCATTTCTACTTAATAATTTATTATAAGCAGTTTGCTGTAAATTGTAATTTAAACAAGAAAGACTGAGTGAGAAAAACTGTTTTCTAACGGTTTAATTTGGGTAAATTTCAATAGGGTTTCTAAAACTGAATTTTCTCAATTAAATCACTAAATTAGGTTATCGAATTTATATTTAGTTTCAATTCAGTCAACTTCAATTTTCGAGTAGTCACCTGCCATCTCTCACATTGTCAAAAATGACTTAATTGGATGTTATACTGCAACTGCAATTGAAGTTTAACGTCCAAATTGAAACAAATTAATATTTAGTGACTCAATTGAATTTTTTCTTAATGTTCAGTTACTACGGATGATTTCTTCCCGTTTAATTGAGATTAATACCCTTTTTAGCAGGGAAAAATGGTATGTACCATAGTTTATTTTGATCTCTAAAAGAAATCCTACACATTTCCATGATTTGGGAAAATCAGGTTTTTCTTCTTTCCTCCTCTCAATGAATTTGACAAATAATCACAACCATTAGATTAACTTGACTTAAGAGTTTGTGATTATTTGTCAAATTTATTTGTTAAATTTATTAGGAGGTGCAATTGATTGTGATTATATTGTTTTGCCGCAACAATATCGTATCAATTTTAATTTTAAGGTTTTAAAGTTTACAGCGATGCATAATGTATTGTGTCGCTCTACAATAGGTTGGAGTATGTCTCTTGGTGATTCTATAATTTCATGGAAATGCAAAAATAAAAATAGGATCTCCAAATCTTCAACTAAAGAAGAATATAGAGCTATTTCCTCAGTTTGTTGTGAAATTATTTGGCTACGTCGACTTCTATAGGAATTGGGATTCTCTCAATCGACCTGCACACATGTAGATAACGTCAGCACTATTTGCATTGGTGCAAATCTTATTCTCCGTGAAAATAGGGGTGTTAAATTGGTCAAGTCGTGTTGTTCAACTGGTTTGTTTTCTGGCTCTGTTCAATCCATCATGTGAGTTAGCTCGCTTCAAGAAAGTTGGGCTCATGGGATGATCCGAGCCAGTTCGCGGCTCATCAAGTTTTTTGCTATTACGCTCGTGATCTTTTCCACTTCCCCACTCCTAATCTATCATCATCTCAATTGATGGAAATTTTTTAATTGGCAAGTCATATGACAATTGATCTTCTACGAAATGGATAGAACAAAAAATCAACGAGTGTTCAACTACTTTTTAAGATTAAAAAACTTAAAATATATACTTAAAATTTTTAACATTTTTATGATGTGACAAAGTAGAAAGTTGACATTCTATACTAAAGTTCAATGACTCAATTGAAACTAAATTGAACTTCAATGACCCAATTTGAAGAAAATCAAAATTTGGTGATCAATTGAGATTTCACTGATAGTTCAGTGTAATAGATAAAATTCAAGCCCAAAAAAATTATGAAAAGTATTATAATTTTTGAACTAATTTTTTTGTTTTAGCTGTAAATTACTGTTTTGTATTCATAAAACATTAAACACCAAAAATTCTTCATATTGATTATATTCAAACATAAATGTATTCAATATACTTATAAGCACAACTTATTTCAATACACATAACTTTATTTTTTCACTTATAAGAAACTTATCTTTTTTCAACCTGCTCAAGACGGACTTACATGTTGGTCCCACCCGTTAGTGATACCAACATTAAATAGTAATTTCATTTAATTAAAATGATACAAGATGTTGTTAACTTGTTCAAAGACATTAATAACATTTTTGTTTTCATCAACATGAAAATATGTAGCCAAATAATTGTATTATCTATCAATTAATCAGTTTCTTTTACTTGCTGAATCTTGTCCACAACCTCATTCAACTCCCACCTCTTTTCTATGTCCTCTTGGCAACAAGCTATTCCAATATGCATAAGCTTTTCCATTTCTCCTCTGCATTCCTCTGTATTTCCCATCTCGTGATCGAAAACTTGTCGATTGCTTTCCAGTTCGTCGACAATGTCGTTGATCCAACCGGCTAAATCAGCGCCATATCCAGTGCCATGATGAGAAAGGTACTTCGCCACAAACTTTCCAGTCAAAGTTTCCAATATCAGAACTCCTAAGCACCATACGTCCGTTTTCTTTGTTGCTCGACCATGTTGTGCGTATTCTGGTGACTTGTACGCCACCAGGATTTGCTGAATTTGGCCAGAATTCATCACAGGCTCGAGTGTGTAGTCCATTAAAAGTGGCTCAAAGTTTTTGTCCAAAAGCACATTTGAAGATTTTAGATGACCATGAGGTACACTCAGGCTTGGCAGCTCATTGTGAAGATAAGCTAGGCCATTCGCCACGCCTTTGATAATTCTTAATCGCGTAATCCAATCAAGCCCCGGAAGCTCTGCCGAATGTTTACCTTGCAGAGCCAATAGAAATAAAATTAGTTTCAATAACAATTGATTAATGAGTTAAAAATCTGGTTCGTGCCTACGAATTTAGAGATGAACAAGAAGGCGCGAAACAAGGAAATGTAACATATTTGTATACCGTGAAGATGACTGGCCAAGCTGCCATTGTATGCATAATCAAAGACTAAGAGCTTTTCTTCTTTTCTATACAAATAGGCGACTAAGGGTAGCAGATTAGGGTGGTCTAGTCTCCCAAGCCTTCTCATGTGCTCGTGGAAGTCTTCTCTTCCTACATTATTCATTTGCTTAAATCTCTTCACGACTAGAGCGTCCCCATCTACTAATACAGCCTTATACGAAGCTCCGAATTTTCCACTGCCTAAAACTTCTGCTGATGCTCTCAACAAGTCCTGCAAGTCGAACTTGCATCGCTCTTCTCTAACAAATGACAGCTTGCCAGGTTGATCGGATTTTTTCGTTATCTGATCAGGGGGCGGCATGCTTTCAACTTTGACATCGTTAATTTGGGTATCAGCAACAGTTTCCCCGATTTTCTTTTCGTTGTAGACTTGACCAAGCTGCGGCGTTTGGCCTTGGCGGCTTCGGCGATAGAGGAGGAGAAGAATGAGGATAAACAATAAACCCACTATAATAGCTAAAACTATTATTGCTATTCTCCCAGCAGATGACTTCTTAGCAGGGTTGGTATCGAGAGGCGATGGAATGGGAGCATCCGGCTCGTCGTCCCCATCATCAGGGAATGGGACATTACATGCTGTCTCAAGAGGCTTTCCACAAAGCCCTTTGTTATCTGCATTAATTAGTGTAGTTTCAGTATCAAGACGATGAAGATCGAGCCCCTGTTTGATGGCCATTATTTTGTAAAAATAATGTTTTGAATAGTGATTTTTCGAAGAATTTGGTATTAAAAAGGAAAAATTTTGGGTTTACATGTAGAATATTTTATCGTTTAAATATGTAGTTGAAAATGAGCATGTGGAATAAGAGATTTCCAATAATGATTGTCAAACAGGAGCCGATCGATGGCCTGTTTTATGTTAGGAAATGAAAAATTATCCCAAAAGTTTATAGCAATGACATACCTGAGAAGGAGCTTGGATCCATTTTGCTAACAACTGCTGGGATAGGACCTTCCAATTGATTATGAGATACATTAAGCAGTTTGAGAGAATCAATCCTGAATTGTGGTATAGGGCCTGTGAATTGATTGTTTTCGATCCTCAACTCTAAAAGGCGAGGCGATTTTGCTAGAGACGTAGGTATTTTACCCGTAAACTTGTTGTTGGCCATATAAACTTTCTTCAATGACGTCATGCCATTGAAAGCATCATCCGGAATCTGCCCAGAAAATTGATTGTTAGACACGAAGAGTGACTTGAGTGCACCAAGTTTTCTCCAATTTGGCATTTGCCCCTCGAAACTATTGCTCATGAAACTCAGAGTCCTCAAAGCCCGCAATGGAATAAGAGACTCAACGTCGATTTGGCCCCTTAGATTCATTTTCTCGAGTTGCAACCCCCATACGTAGCCATTGAAGCACAAAACACCGTTCCAATTTCCATAATTCCCATTACATGGACTTATGGAGGAATTCCAATTGGCAAGAGCCTCCTCTGTGTTTGCTAGGGAGCCTTTAAAATTTAAGAGGGCTTTGGTGGCATCATCTTGATCATCACCCAATGACGACGTTGGTGCAAACACGAGTAGAAGAAGAAGAAGAAGGCCAATGATAAATGTAGTTGAAGGTGGCGGCCGGCATAGACGATGGGCAACTTGAGTGCCCATCGGAATTTTTCCGATAGAGGTAGGACGTTGAATGTCGAATTCTACAGACATAAGGGGTGAAGTTTGGTTTATTTGTTTGTTTTCTTAGTTTCATTCTTTGTTTTTTGTTCTATCGATGTATTTTGTGTGTTTTTCCTTGATTGTGGGGGGAATAAGGGGAGAGAAAGAAAGCAGTGTGTGAAAATTAGTGCTAAGAATAGAAGGGAGACATGTTGGGATCAAAGAAGCTCCAATGTTTTCGGAGACAATCCACGATGGAGAGATATCATAGGCAAATTCCATGACGAATAATGCTACTTGTACATAATAGTGTATAAATTGATTTACAAATTGATGATGTGGATTAGGGGCGGACCCACTTGAGGCCGAGTGGGGTTGGCTGCCCCCACTCGATTTTCAATTTTTTTATTTTTCTTGAGGTTTTTTCAAGTTTTTCAGGTGAAATCCTATGAATTTTTGATTTCGCACCCACTGAATTTTCATCCTGGGTCTGCCCCTGGTGTGGATAGTATTATTTGATTTTATTTCATGCCATTCTCTCTAGTTTTTCTCTCTCCTCCCTCTTTAGGACTTGACAGATTATATGGAAGTGGGTGGTTTGGTGTTATGAGAATTTGAATGGATGTTTTTCAAAGTGTGGTTGATTGATCTTAATGTTAGGAATTGATGTAGAATCTCCAAAATATATTTTCTAGGAAGAACATAATGATTAACCAAACTTTTTCATAAACTGGGGCTTGGGTATTTATAGTTTAGAGGTTCTGAGATAGTATATGATAGAACTCATGAAAAATGCGAACTGAGATTCCTCAAATAACTCATTGTTTGAGCATTTGTCGAGCGCAAGGCAAGCGGTTGGAGGGTGACAGCTTCACTGTTTTGAGCGCTCGAGCATTAGCTTTGCAGCAGGCTAATCCAATGACTCCTAATTAATCTATACAACCTTCCAATTGATTCAATGACTTTTAACACTTTTTTATAACTATAATTTTGTCTAAAGATTGCCAATAACTATAAAACCTAACAATGGTAAGTTGGAAATGGTAGGAAAATTCAAGTTTTTAGTTGTCGTTTGCTCGCCCGAGCCATGGTTACCTTTGATGAGTGTTGTGGTTTTGGTTAACTTGGAAGGGATCGGTGATGAAACTTCGTTTCTACAGATTTTTTCCCTTGGACCAGAGAATATTATCTTATCCCTTCCTAGCAAATTCCATAATGTCGAGGATGTTTTGATGTGGCACTTTAATAGGGGTGATAGCTACAGATAGTTGTCTTCTGTTTTAAAAGATGAATAATATTATTTAGCACCAGTAGTATTAGAGTATCAGTTTATGTAGCATTATCCGATATATCCAAGGTGAAATTATGTTATTCAATGAAGAAATGATGCAATTGAATCTGTTGGAGGAAGCAATATGATAGAATGAGTCTTAGTTTCACTTCGCTGGTGAGACTAATTGGGAAGTAGTTAACGGTCTAAAGATGCTTGTTTAATTGCCTTCTAAAAGTGCATTACCTACCTAAAGTTCTCACTAGCCAATTGTATTGTTCATTTAATGATACTTAGTGCCACCTAAATTGATTTTGTAACACCAATAATGTTAAATAGTACTGCTCAAAATTTGTGTGCCTTCGTGTAATTGTAGCACCATTCCTTTCTTTTTCTTTTTCTTTTTTTTTTGACTTTTTATTCGATATTTTTCACATTTTCATACAATTCACATAACATTTATGTAAGGTTATGAATTTGGATGAATAGTCAATCCAAAACTATATATAGCATTGTGATTTCCAAAATAATAATAATAATAATAATAATAATAATAATAATAATAATAATAATAATAATAAATAATAAAAAATTCATTCCCTTCAATAAATTTTAAGTCCAAATTCTGCTTAATATTTGCGTAAAAGCTCAGTGAAAAAGACAAAAATTATGTTCATTATATCTTACATGTCCGTCGAAACAAAAAACCATCCTATCCTCGAAAACAATTTTTCATAATCTGGAAGAAAATTTATCTCAAAGAAACATAGTGAATTTGATTTGGGTCAAATTATCATTTTGATTAGTTTTAAAGAACTACGAGTCTATTTTTATTTCAAGATTAATTGTTCATTTATACAACATGCCCTAATATTGTAGATAATCTTTTACATATGGAGAGCTTTTTGCAATATTCTCCCAACAAATACGAACATGTTTAGCATACAAATATGTAGAGTTAATAAGAATTAGCTCCAAAGACAGATTTTAATCGCCCTGCAAGACGATCCGGTCGAGAGGTTGTTTAAACATCAATACAGAATTTTGATGCTTCTGAAAATACATCATTTTAAACATTTAACAATATTTGAAATTGCTGATGCTATTTTGAATATCAAAATGTCTCAAGTTATGCTAACAAATATGCACCAAACGCCAAAATGAACATTCCTCTATGTAGATATCTATCTACTTAATCGTATTCCAGGAAACAATTTTAGTAGTCAGAATCATCCGTTCGTTGAGATGCACCAAGACCATCTCCTCTTTGGCTGATACCGGATCTTTGAACTAACCGCTGTAATATCTGCACCACTTCGGACATTGGTGGCCGAAATTCTGGCTCAGACTAAACCCAAAAAAAAAAGGGTTTCATAAGGTGTTTGATCAAATATAAGAGATATCGGTGAAAAGAGACTGCATATGCCAACATGAAAACCATATGAAAGGTGTTAAAAAAATGAAAAAGGTGTAGCTTCTCACCTGTACACAAAGAGCAACCGCATCAGCAAATTGAGAAAGGGACTTAGGAGGGTACAACCCATGTAAGGCAGGATCGACTAGTTTTGCCAAGGCATCTATATCATGGAGCTGTGGTGAGGCCCACCGAACAAGATATTGTTCATATCTTGGCTTTGAACTATGAATGAAAGAAGCAAGTAAACTGTTTCAGAAACAAGGACTAATGAACTGCCCAGTAACCAAAATTGAAATTTTAAATCCAACACACCTATCGAAAGGCAATCGGCCTGTCAGCAACTCTAGCATTACCACCCCAAAGCTGTATACATCACTTTTTACAGTGTAAGCAGATGGTTTTGTACATTCTGGTGCATTATATCCAGTTCCAAGGTTTTGGCTCATTCTCTGATGAACAATATCAAACTCGGGTAAGAAAGGACAAAAAGTCCCTCTGATATAAGGGCCACGTAAAAGATAGATTCTATAAGCATAAGCTGCATAACATAATTTTATTTTAGCATGCAACAAGAGCTTTACTGATGCAACTCACAAGGAGTAGGAATACATGGTCTTTAAGGATCATAATGAGGCCCAATGCATGTCTAGCCAAGTTTGGTAAACAGCCCTGTTTCTAGTCAACGGAGTCAGACCTTTTGTGACTCGTGATTTAGGGCAAATTTCATCATTTAGGGGTCAACTGACAGATTTATTATTTACCTAAAATTTAGCAATTGTTAATTTTTGTAATTTCAAGATTTTGTTTCCTTAATTAATCTCATTAGATTTCTTCGCTTGATTATTCAAATTATCCAACTAGAACATATGGCATATCATCATTCGATGAATTTAAAAAATTAGATTTTTATATCTAGATTTTGATTAATGGTTGAAAATTGATATCTTCTTCCCCCAAAATTTTCTATATTTCCTCCCATTTCTCTCCTCTTCCCTATTTCTCTTTCAGTGCTGCTTTCTATGTCAATGAGTCTATTGATAGGAAGTGAAAAGAGATTTACATGAAGTTGATGTTTGAAGGAAGGTCAAGTGCACTAGGGACGTGACGACATCTAAGGATTATGTTATCAAGATTGGGACTACACATGTTTTGACTTTAATATGAAACGCAAAATTGTATCGGAGCACACTGACTCCGTCATAAGATCCATGATGTCTCCAGAAAGTTGTTGAGGATGCAAGGTTCAAAACCCTATAGACAGATATATTCCAAGTGATTTAGAGCCAAAGGTCATCATGGAAAGTGTTAGGTCTAAGTAAGTCTTGACAAGTTCCGGTCCAAAATCATTCAATTAAGTTGTAATTGGGTTAAGGTCGAATGGTGTTAAAAGTCGGAGACGTATGAAGGGAAGAACACAGAAATATTAAAACTGCACGTCTACCGCTTAAGCCTTAAGGTCAATCTTGAGCCTCATTAACAGAGAGAGATCACTCATAGACCGCAAAGAGAGGAGCTCAAGTGCAATTAAAAGAGAGAGAGAGCTCGTAGACTGCCCAAGAAGAAGATCGTGCGGAGGTAATTTTGCCTATTGATAAACCAAGAAGATCACAACGTGTTACTATCAAGAATCCAAGGTTCATAGTATGAGGTTCCGTTATGCTGTGTAACGCGGAAGACTGGATTGGAGCTGTTGAACGCGAAAGAACAAATGGGAGCTGTTGAGGATTTGCTGGCAAAGTTCCATTGATCCAATATTTGTTATCTATTCTTTTTTTATTTGAATAATTGTTAGCCATTAATTTACATGTAGTTGTGGAGTCCTTACTTTAAGAGTAGAGATAGCAAGTTTCGGAAAAGCTGTTTTCCTTTGTGTGTTTAAACTCCTCCAGTTTGCAGTAAGAAGCAAGTTTATTGAAATCAAATTCCTGTGGTTCCCAATGTTATCAAAACCGGCCCGCCCGGTTTAACCGGTAAAACCAGGAACTGGGCCCAAAACTGGGTCAATACTGTCTAGTTAACCATTTGTGACAAAACCGTTTAAAAACCCGTTGAACCGGCCGGTTTAACCGTAAACCGGTGAACCAGTCGCGATTTTATGGTTTCCCCAATTTTTTTTAGCTTAAAAAATTTCAACTTAATGAATGAGCTTCATAAACAACAATTCAAAGGCCCATAGAGAAATATCGGATAACATGCTCCTTTTATGGATGCACCACTCTCAAATGGTTTTATAGAGTTCCAATGTGGGATAGTGCATTTTATAGATGCCATTCTCTCCAATGATTTCATAAACTTCCAATGTGAGATAGGGGCATAACAAAAATGTTAACAAATTATAGAATAATAAATTTAATTAACAAATTATTAATATGAAAATTTTTAAAAAAAATTATTGTTTTCATTGTATTTTATTATTTTTGTATGTATTTATTGCAGCCGGTTTAACCCCAGTTGAACTTTTTGACTCTTGACCCTTCACCTTTTATGAGTCGATGACCGGATCGGTTCTCAAAATCATTCTCACCCTAGGAAGAATTCTATCTACGAAGCAATTGTAATAGCTTTGACTGGGACCTATCACGTGACCTTCGTCCCGGTGCCAAAGGACTGCTCAAGTGGTCTATGATGCAGGGAAAACCTGCTTTAGCCTATCTAAACTTTGAAACATGCTCAATCTATTAGAGTTGAATTAGTTTCCATGTACAGAAAAGGAAAACTACATATAATCAGGATTTAATTCTGTAACTTTATTTCCTTTTATATATTTGTAACATACTTTAAATCAAGTATATAATGAAAATTCATTTCGCAAAAATATTGTCACAAACCACCTAAAAACCACAAATATAGTTCATGGCTTCATGTACATGATGGATGGTCGTTTTTTAGTGTTTTGGAGAAAAAGAAAAACCTAGAGTAGATCGATTAGGTTTTTGAAAAACTTTCCTTTTTATTTCTTCCACATTCACAAAAGAAAAACAAATTAAAATCCTCTACAGAATTCTGAGTCATGATGGAGATGAGAGATAACTTGAACTCCAGTTGACTAAGAACAAGTTTGTTGTCAGAGAACCATGTGGGAAAAGAGTCTAGAGGTTCTTGAGTAGGTGTCGGAGAACACCTCCAAGTTCTTTTGATAGTTATTATTGGATTTTATGCGCAATAATAAAGAGATAAAAGAGAGAAATAAACACAAGAATTTACGTGGTTCGACAGTGTCCTACATTCACAAGAGCGAAGCGGAGATAATTTTATTCAGTATGAAAAATAGGGTTACAACATTATTATTTATACTAACCCTAGCCTAGACCCATACAAGACTTTAAGGTCGGTACAAGAAAATCCTCCCATACCGTAGGGGCGGATCACCCCAAACTATTCAGCGTCCCTAGCAACTAGACAGTAAATTAAACCCGCACAAGGCCGATGCCGGGGACCCATGTTCCACTCTATATGAGCCACATACACAATAATCTCCACCTTGGAGAATATTCAACCCTTAGGAGAAAAATACAAAAAACATAACATGGGAAACCATACCGTCTAGGACTAACGGGTTGGGACACATCCTCTCTAACACCTAGAGACGTTAATGAAGTTCAAGCAATGCTTGAACCTATCCATTATGATTGGCTTTGTCATCATATTTGCTGCACTCTCCGAGTCTACTAAGTTTTAGTAGTATCTGGATCATATTTGTAAGTTAAATCTTTTCATAGTGAATCGTTTGGTGGCAACGTATGTCGAGTTTTTTTTCTCTTGAAGAATTCTTTAAGGGTTTTTCCTACATCAACAATACTTGGTATTATTTACTTCTGAGCATGTTATTTTATTTGCTTTATTGTTGAGATTGCTAGTAATTCATTTCTGTCAAATCTGGACCTATAATATCTGCAACAAATAATTTGTGACTATTATAGATTATATTTGTTGATTTTAAATTCCGAGTATAACACACATTCACCCCTTAGGTGTTAAATGGATCAAGTTATCAGGTTTTTAAGGTGAGGAGACTATGGAAGATAATGTAATATTTTCCTTGTGTTCGCGGATGAAATAAATTTGTTGAACATGATTTTAACGCAAGTCTAGACTTTTAATTTTGATAAGTTGGTTTATAAGTACATCAACCAACAAACTTCAGAAGATAAACTACTGATGAAGACTTCAAAGTTCAACTGGAATTCAAAAATATATGATGACCTTAAGTTGTCCACAAAGAAGAAGATAAGGCGAACCATGATTACTATAAGCATGTCTCCCAAAGCCTGACATAATATTTCCATAGGTTTTCTTTAGAAATTTACTTAACAATAGAGGAAATGTTCTGTATCGCCTTCCTAAGAGCCATGTGATAGGCTTCCTATACAATTTACCAATTCTAGAAGGACCCAGGAGAAGGAGGAAATAGCTGACTGGGAAGTAACAGAATCTGTTAGTGAAGGAATGATGGGACTTAGTTAGTTAGAGGAGATCTATAAACAGAAGTAGATGAAACTGGAAAAGGAGGCAGAATTTGGTAGTCACTTGGGAGAGTAGTAGACCTCTCCAATGTCCATTTATCCTTTGTTATTTTTCCTTTTCACTGTTATGTATCTGCTCTTCTTATAGCAGATTTATCTCCTTTTGTAATCTCAGTTCAGTAGTGGAAGATTATAATTTCGTTGAGTTCTGTTTTCAGTCCATTAATTACTCGAAAGTGTGCTTGGTGAAGTGAAATTATCCCAGGGTTCTATCAACTGGTATCAGAGCATCATCCTGGACATGATGCTGACAGACCGCGTGGTGGAATTGGAAGGAAGGATGGACAGTTATCAAATAAGTATGGAGGGAAGAATGGACATGCATTCACTTCTGTTAGAGCAGGAGTTGAAATGGAAATGATTGATGCAGTTGCAAACAGCATTGGAAAAATATCCGAGGAGTTGAGGTGCTCATACAATGGAAGGGGTTGTCTCCCTTAGAGATTACATGTGAACCAAACAAATTATTGAATCAACAATTTTCTCATGTTCACCTTGAGGACAAGGTGAATGTTGGAGAAGGGAGTAATGATAGGCTTCCTATACAATTTACCAATTCTAGAAGGACCTGGAAGGAGGAGGGAATAGCTGACTGGGAAGTAACAGAATCTCTTAGTGAAGGAATGATGGCACTTACTTACTTAGAGGAGATCTATAAATAGAAGTAGAGGAAACTGAAAAGGAGGCAGAATTTGGTAGTCACTTGGGAGAGTAGTGGACCTCTCGAATGTCCATTTATCCTTTGTTATTTTTTCTTTTCACTGTTATGTATCTGCTCTTCTTATAGCAGATTTGTCTACTTTTGTAATCTCAGTTCATTAGTGGAAGATTATAATTACGTTGAGTTCTGTTTTCAGTCCATTAATTACTCGAAAGTGCGCTTGGTGAAGTGAAATTATCCCAGAGTTATATCACCATGTTTTAATTTTGCTTCTTTTCTAGAAATAATTCAAATCAAACATGCTCATATTATAGTCATTCTTAAAATATTTATTTGTTGCAAGTTTCATTTATTTCATTGTTATCAATTTTAGTTCTGTATTTTCATTGAGTCAGGAGATAGAGAGAAATGGGAGTGGCATAGGGACGTCAACGAGCCAAGTCGAGTCGAGCCCGAGCCTAAAATTTTCGGCTCGAACTCAGCTCGGTTAAAATGGTCGAGCTTTTTTACAAGCCCGAGCCAAAAAATTTCGGCTCAACCCGAGCTTTTGGCTCGGGCTTTTCCGAGCCAAGCCAAGCCAGGCCGGCTCGATTTTTTATTTTTTTTCTTCTGGGCTGCCTTGGCTTTTTATTATTTTTTTTTCCCTTGCGTTCTGCTGCCTTGAAAGGCAGCATTTCTGCCTTTTAAAAGGCAGAATTTCAAGGCAGCAAACGCTGCCTTCTTTTTTTTCTTTTTTCTTTTGGCTCGCGGGCCACCCAAGCCGTCGAGCCTTTTTGACATCCCTAGAGTGGCATCAGGCATCCTCTTCAAAGTCCAACATGCTCATATTATAGTCATCCTCTTCAATTGTCGTACGGATACAGAAGTAGCAGCAGTCAGCCACAAACTCAGAATGTACCATCCAGGCTAACAAGTGCCTTTCCATTTTTTGTGCCACTAAAACTAAAGTTGCCTTGTGTATGATGTCCAAGAAAATAAAAAAAATGGATCGAGATCACAAAATCTATACTAATCTTCTGCACACAAAACCAAACAAATTTACTGAGTATATTCAAATCCTATGAACCTGGCATCTAATATCAACATTTTGGCAACCTTTAGATAACATTAAACAACTCTATTGCTACCCAAGATAATAACTAAATCAATGACGATAGAGATGAAAGTGAAAGAAATGGAGATAGAAGCATTAAAATCTTGAAAAACATACTATACATACCTCAAAAAATGTAGCCAAGCCGCAATCAGAGAGACAAGGATTCAGTTCAGTGTCGAGCAAAATATTGGTAGACTTTATGTTCTTGTGCACACATGATGGTGAGCAAACCTCATGCAGGTACCTAAATATATAAGAATGGTTGGAAGATCAAAAAGAAATGCTGCAAATGAGATATAACTACAGCATGAGCTACCAAAACTAATAGGCGGGCAATGTCCAATTCGTACCAAGATTCAACTGAAGTCTCTCTTAAATGTGATGTAGTACATCATAACTATAGTTGATTTCCTACTACTAATATGTTTTATCTTTTTTAGAGTTTATTTTCTATTTAGTTTTCTTGTAATAGGACTTTCATATTTTATTTAATTAGGGCTATAGTTTCTTTATTGAGTACAATAGGAGTTTTAATTAGATTAGAATTTTATTAGTTTTTTAGTTTCTTTATTTCAATTTCCTAATACTATTAGGAGTAGGGGACAATTTGCCTATAAATATAGGAGCATTGTACACTTTTCAACAACAATCAATTATTATTCAATATATATGTGACATGATTGTTCAAATATCGTTTTTATTTATTATGTAATTCTTATTACAAGAATTTCATAATGCTTTCTCACCAAAATTGGTATCAGAGCAAGGAAATTGCCTTAATTTGACGGCTAACGATGGTCCTGGTGGCAATCGAATCGCCGATGACGAACGGATGCTCGATAAACTCGAACGACGAATCGAGGAGAGCAACAAAACCCTTCACAACATCACGCATAAACTAACAGCGTTGATTCTTGAAAGGGATTGTTTCAACAAGCATAGAATATGGCAACATGTGGCAAGAGAATTTCCTCGAATCCCAGCCAAGTTTGAAAACACACTAGTTATCAAGGTTTGTTTTCTTCAACAACAAAACTAGAGGACGAGTTTATCTTCAAGTGGAGGGGATTGATGTAGTACATCACAACTACAATTGATTTCCTACTGCTAATATGTTTTATCCTTTTAAGAGTATTTTCTAATAGGATTTTTATATTTTATTTAATTAGGACTATAATTTCTTTATTGGGTAGAATAAGAGTTTTAATTAGATTAGAATTTTATTAGTTTTTTAGTTTCCTATTTCAATTTCCTAATACTATTAGGAGTAGGGGACAATTTGCCTATAAATATAGGAGCATTGTACACTTTTCAACAACAATCAATTATTATTCAATATATATGTGACATGATTGTTCAAATATTGTTTTTATTTATTACGTAATTCTTATTACAAGAATTTCATAACGCTTACGCACCAAAATGGAAGATCATGAGTTCGAATCTTGGGAACACGACAAAAGTTCATGAGGGGTAAGATAGGCTCAAGCTATCTCAAAGCAGACAATACATAAATTAATGGCTTGGACATAGAGGCTATATCGTCACAAAAAATGAGCATTTTTTGTAACAACTTGGCCTTTGTATTTAAGTCGTTAACTTACGTACTATTTGCATTGGGATAGCCTGAGTCCATCTTACCCACCATGATTTAAGTTGAATCCTGGAACCAATTAGGTAAAGACGAGTCATTACAAAAAAATACGCTCCAGACCTCATGCTCAGTCTTTCCCTACCACGATTCAACTTAAGTCATTTTTAAGGAAAATGTCGAGAGTTCAAATTCTGGGGACACGATAGAAAATTTTGAGGGGAAGATGGACTCAAACTCTCCTAGAGCGGACCTCACATAAGTTAACGGCTTGGGCACAAAGGTCAGGCACATTTTTTTGTAACAACCCAGGCCTTATGTTCAAGTAGTTAACTTTTATTTTGTTCGCTCTGGGTCGGCATCTGTCCACTTACCCCCTTACAAATTTCTATTGCGTCCTTAGGATTCGAACCCATGACATTTCACTTAAGAAAGACTTGAGTTAAATCCCGATACGCTGCACGGGTTGTTACAACATTATTAAGGTTAAGTACTGAAAAAGAGAAGTAGTTCGATCTAAGTATCCATGGATGCTCGAAGTAGTCAAAGAAGTAGGTCAGGCGCACAAATAATGATGTTGAGAGCTAAGCATGATTTCTGAATAATGCTTGTGTACATACAAAGTGATTCAGAGCCTATTTATAGTGTTTGCAGGTGAAAATGAGAAGAAAATTTTCTATTCTACGCCTAGAATTACTTTGACAATTTATCATCGGTATGAAAAGGAAACACTTCCCCAAGATTGTGCAAGTTTTTCCATCCCCTATTTGCTTGTGATAATTGGAATGATCAAGCTACACGTCCCTTTCAGTATGCTGCCCAGCTATATTTCTGTGTACATGTATGAGATTCCTGCATACCAGCTCACAATCCAATTTATCCTTGATGAAATGATGATCAATTTTAACGTGCTTAGTTCATTCACGTTGAACTGGATTGTGAGGTACATTTATAATCAATTTTCTGTCAGGTTATGGCATCACAGGACCTACCCAACTCACTTTAAGATCACTACCAACGAATTTTATCCAGAGAAATTCACAGCCAGTGCACTGTGACCAAAAACTAGACTATGACACTGCCCGAGAAATTGCACCAGAAAATCATAAGTTCAATGGCATCGTCAATAACCACTTCACAAGAAAAAGAATAGAAGTAAAGAAAGATGAAACCTCCAAATCTAAAAGATGTCAACATATTTTTTGAATTGTGTGTAACTGTTAAGATTTGCATTGATGCAACGAGTAATGACACCAACATTTAGACTCCATTTGGATCTTCGATTTTGGTCAGGAAAATGAAAGTAATTAGGGTACATTATAACTTCCATGCTTTTCCTCTCACCAAAAATAACAGCACATCTAAAATTGTTTTAAGTATCTGTTTTGCTTATGCTTGACAACCATATATCTCACGTTTTCCTTGGACAAAAAATCAAGTCGTATTTCCTTAGAGTTCTATTCACTCAAATCCACAAATTAAAAAAGCAAATAAGGAAAACTGGATACTTTGACACACAGTACCATGTGGTCCGAAAAGAATGGAATGCAAGTAAATTGTTGCAGAAAGAATAGTGTAAATGCGACTTACTCAACAGCGTGGGCTGTTCCCAAGGCAATTCTGACTCTTGTGTTCCATGTAAGTGGTTTGCTGAAGTCATCTGACAGATGCAGAAATTCATGAAGCGAGCCATTTCTAAAGTACTCATAAACTAACATGTTCTGTCCCTGTTCTGTACAATAACCAACAAGTTCAGTAACATTAGGGTGGCGAATCTTAGAGATGTTTGAAACAATATCTGCAAATCTTTCCCCTCGTTCCCCATGAAAAAGTGAGGAATCTATCTTCTTCACTGCAAGAACCTGCCAAAACAGGAAACGGAGATGTAACCATTGATATGATATATCATAGATAAAAACTGAAGACTTCACAAAACCCAAATCCCAGTTTACACCTCCTCAGGGTCTAATTGTAGCTGACTTCTATCGTGCATATCTTTAGGAGCAATAAATTCTCTTCAAGCTTGAGTGAATTTCCTAATGAGTCAATCTCAAAAATCTTCGATTAAACCAAGCTCAAGTGGCTTATATCTTCTACATAATATACTATTATTTGCGAGTCACAACAAGCTCCGGATGAGATTGATAAGTTGACAAATGTTGAAACATATTTAAGCATCAAACTTCTTGTTTAACTGTTGACACCATTTCAAATGACAAGATAGGCTTTCATCTCTTGTTTTTAGATTGAACTGGAGCTATGAAACCAACATGATGGTAATAACCTATTAATAAAGTCATGGCACTGGTAAGACTAAAACTTCAACTTCAGATGACAATGACTACACAATGTGTTACATTTAAATTGATAATAAAAACAAAGAAATACAATACTGTGTCATTTGTTAATGCAATTTTCTCAACATTAGATAACTCTGCTTCCCCACCCACGGCCCCTCCTCATTATGAATATACCACTGGGTGAAATGTTCATTCTTCATAGGAAACAGGAGTCAAAAAAAACAAGAAGAGGGTACACAAGAAAAAAATCATACTGTAATTTATGTGCACTTAGAATGGTATTGCTTACCCTCCCATCAGCATACTTTGCCCTATATACACGACCAATAGATCCCTCGCCCAGAAGGCGACCTGTGGCAAAGTTACCAGTCGCAGTCTGCAAATCAGCCAAAGAGTAAGAGGCAATGGCGACTGAACTGTTCGTTTTTACATCCAAATTATTTGTAAATTCATTGTTGCTGAATGATTGGAGACGAGTTGAAGATGGAAGCTTGAGACTGATTGAAGGAGAAGCCTGTAAACCTTTTATTCTATTTGAGGAGGATGATTTGAATGATTTCAGTTCTGTCACCAGCAGAAAATGTTTTAGTTGCAATTCAGTATATATTGATCAACACTAAAGACAAAATTATTTACAGTGATATGGATATAAGCTACACCAAAAGCATACTACTGCTAAATTCTTTTGGGAAGTATAGCATTATCATATTGCTGAAGCTTTCCATTATTTTCTTTTACTAGGTATCTATGCCAGGGTGATAATGTCTGGAAGGTTTTCTGGATGACAGCATCTGCACTTTTTTCAGGAATGGAGTCACCAGAAAGGAAACTTGCCAGAAAAAAATGCAATTGATGTGCACAAGCTAGTTTATTCAAGGACCTTCAGCATACTCACAATTTTGTGCAGGTTTGATGCTGCAATTAGCTACATTAAAACAATCCAGTGCACAAGGATTAAGTCAACTAGAACTGTTTTGAAGCATGTATCCTAAGGATAAACTTCTCAGGCATGAGTTATTCAGAATTCAACCACAAACACTGATCTTGGACTTACTTGAAACACTAAATTTGTTGATACAATTGCATACTGATGCCAAGTTATTCTGGCAAATAATGGTGAGGACTATTTACTGCACCACACAGTCATGTGACGAACTCCAGCAGATTTTTCAGAGACAATTAAGTTAAGCAGCTTTTTGGTGAAAAATGACTAAATAGTATGTGACACTTAAAATATCTTAATAAATAGATTCAATAAGGGACTAAGCAAATCCCTTATCAATAGCTGAAAGACCATGACCATTCATATTAATGCTTGACCAACACGTAAGCCTCCCTGAATTTAGAAATCCTCAATTCTAATAAGTTGCACGTGACAAATATATTTAGTCTTTCCATTCCTCACAAAGATTGTAATACAAGATTAGCTCGGTACCAATGCATCTATGTTTCAATATGAATTGATCATAATTGACATCATTCTAGTCACAGAGTTGATCCACCCATCTTGTTGTATAGCATGATTAGGCCTTCGCATATTATCAGACTTTGAAGCGAGGACTGCAGCTGGATTCTTTACCCTTAATTTTATTCTTCCTTTTTTTTAATTGGCGAAAGAAAAAGATTGTCACGCCAAATCTAAATTTTACCTCTGAAGTCCTTGTGTGATTTAGCATGAAAATCACTAGGTAACTCGCTGGATGAGAGTGGAGTGAAAGGCCTACGAGGGCTAAGCATATCATCTTCAATATAATGTGGAGGTGGCGTAGATCTCCTTGAGAATAGATTAATAACAATCCCAAGGATAATCAGAAAACCCAGGACTATACCAGCAATTGCAACACCACTTAGACCAGACTTCTCATTCTTTTTATTCGACTGGCTAGCTCGAGTATCACTTTTTGTCCCTGGAGGAGGAGGAGGTGCAGGACCAGATGACCAAGAATTTCCACCAGTCCTTGGAGACAAAATCAAAGTCAGGAACATAAAAAACCATTAAACACTATAATTGTGGCTGAATACTCACTTTATATTGTCAATGTTTTTCAATTCATTAGGAATCCAGCCAGTAAATTTATTATTTGCTACATTCCTGCACATAAAATTCTTGTATTAGGTTCTTCATCTCAAGAAGTTCAACACGAGAGCAAAAAATCAAATAGATATCAAACAGCTGATGATTCATATTCCCTTGATATTGTGTGAAAATCAAAGTTTAAAACATGCTTCTCCCAACTCCATGAGGTTAGATAAGTAGCATTACGGTTCCCTCGTTGATGGAAGAAATGGATCAGAAATAAAAAACAACTAAATCAGCTTATGAACATTGATCTTTCAGCATAAGAATTTCAAATGCTTTCTGCTTAGATATTAATTGATTTACGTATTTATCAGCTAGAGATCCTTATGATCCACTTCCATGAATACTGACAAACCACTATGGAAATCCTGGCAAAACTAAATGTAATTCATTCCAGGTCGATGATATACAACGATTTAGGAGACAATTTAAACGTATGAGTCAATTTATAGACCTTCATCTCTTTCTGTATCGTAAAGGGAACATCTCCATCTAAGCCTCAAGGCCTCCAAGAAATAGAAAAATATTTCATCTATTTAATACACATCCTTTAGTTTAAGGGATAAAAACAATAATAAACAGACGAGAACTTCATGGTTCTATGAAACCATTAAATTGGTATTAAATAATTTGAGAACATCACGGTTTGTCCAGCAGGAGATCTGATCTGGGAAAAGGGCATGAAACATTGGGAAGGGAAGAGACACACGAGTATAATCTTCAAAGCTTAGACCTTAAAAAGAAATTGTTGCATTCACTCTTTAACCTATAAACAAAGAGACTTGATGGAGTCAGTGTTTCCTCCAACATGCTTCAAGTGTCATGAGGCCCGTGGCTAGTGCTGTCTCACAGTTATGCACATCCTTTTTCACGCATCCATCCATCACCAACCTGCACATCTCCAGGTGTAGGTGTGTGTGTGGGTGCGTGTGTATAAACACAAATGCTTAAATTTAGAAACTCTTCTGGACAATGTAGCATTTCAAATCCTTGTAGACCACGTTTCCTCTTTTAATGTGTAAATATAGCTCCATTTATATGGTACCTTGGACCACCAAATTTTCTGAATGAGTTGAGTAGCAAGTAACAGTATGATGAGATTGTGTTAAAATGTGCTTTTGCTCTTCTAAGACAATATATCTGCAAAAGCTATTTCAGGTCTTTATGCTATGAGATTGAAAGGGAAACAATGAAATAGGTACTTCATAAAGGAATAAGAAGATAGAAAAAAGGAAGCTAAATACTGCCCCATCTCATATTATATAGGATTCTACGACCATAAGATTACAGAAATATATACATCAAGGGAATCAAGATGCTTCTAAGGCATGATCTTGTACAAAGTACAGAACTTAATAAACATGTGAAACAATACAATCTACCTTGTTGAAGAGTGCAAAAAGTAGACAAGTAAAATGTGTTGTATGAAAATTCACTATATACTAGAGAAACATACATTCCTCTAATTGGTGCGTACTTACAGATCATCAAGAGGCAGATTGGAGAGGACATTAATTGAACCAGTGAATTTGTTATTCTGCAAATACCTACATGAAGACATAAAGAACCATCAACACCACTAAACTCTCAAATCTGGAAAGTAGATGCACTAGCGCCTTACAGAGTGCTCAGGGTTGAGAGGTTCTTAAAACTCTGGGGCAAATCACCCGACAGTGAATTGGAGGAGAGATCCCTGGATGTAATATAAAAAATCGGTCAACGAAATTAATGAAGTATCAAAACATATATACAGTCCTATGCATAGACATACAGAAGGTTCATGTGAAATTTGTTTACCTGGTTTTCATTATGAAATTAGAAGCCTAAAAAGATGATCAACAGTTTTAGATTGGTTGGGCTGTCTCAATGACATACAGTCATACAGATTATCAATAGTTCTATGTATTACACCATTTCAGGAAGAAATTCAGCTACATGGAGGATCAAGAGACAACCATTTGTGGCTCATTTCGTCAATGAGATTGAATAACATTACGGAGATCATCAAAGATCGTCTATATTATCATTATAATTGTATCATATATAGATAGATTGCTTTTACATATTTAGATTATATATTGTAACTATATAATTCAATGATGTCCTAAGGGAAGATTATTTAGCCAATTATTTTGGCATGGCATCAGAGCCTCTTTCGGAGAATTTTTCTCACATTTTCTTAATTGGTCTTTTTTTTATTTTTATTTTTCTCATGACAGGAGGAGCTCATGTGTTATTTGAATGGATTCTCAATTTGTTGTCTGCCAATAATTTGAAGCCTTCCTTCCCCAAATTGCAATATCTTCCTAGAAACTTCAAAATCGTTAATTGTGAAGTATATATACACCTATTCCTCGATAAGCATCTCAGAAGAAGGGAAAAGGAAGTGGTTGCCATGCATCAAAAGTAACTAAAGAGGAAGAAGATGAAGAATATCTCAAGGAGGAAGAATCTGGCGCTTGAAATACAAGGCTAGTGGCATAGTAGTATTGTATTTAGGGTAAGATGAGGGATTACCAACTCGGTGGCTTGAATTGGCTCATAAGGCTGTACAAGAATGGCATCAATGTAATACTTGCCGATGAAATGGGACTTGGTAAAACATTGCAAATGATTTCCTTGCTGGGGTATTTGCATGAATTCAAAGGAATAACTGGCCCTCACATGGTCGTTGCCCCAAAATCTGCACTTCGAAATTGGATGGATGAAATCAAACGTTTCTGTCCTGTTTTGATTGATGTAAAATTTTTGGGAAATCCAGATGAAAGAAAATATATACGTGAGGAGTTACTTGTTGCGGGAAAGTTTGATGTATGTGCTACGAGTTTTGAAATGGCCATCAAAGAGAAGTCTACATTGCGCTTCTTTAGAATTGTAATTCAGAATCGTTTGACGTGGAATTCACGTGTAAGAATTATTCTGGTTAGGAAATATATATTCTGCCCTGATTAACATAAGAGTGTTATTGTTGAGAGTAAAATCAATTGATTTTTGGCAGAGATCTAAGGATTCTTGAGCGATGGGATAAGAAAAGACACCAACTGGGTTATGGATTTCTTGAAAGTGGGCTTGGCTATTAGACACGAGGGTATAACTTGTAAATAGGCTGAGGTAATTATGGGTTGTGAGCAATAGGGCTATAAATTGTGGTTTCTCTTTGTGGGTTGATCTTTTGTTGGCTAATTGTGCAAGCTTTAGAATGTGAATTGATTTGCTTCCAATAAGGAACTTTTTTTTTTTTTATAGGTAATCAAATAATTTTATTACTTAAAAGAGAATAAACGGGGGTGTACAATCACTTTAAGCTATTAAGGAAAAACATGAAATTAGGCAACCCATCTACAAGATTTCTAGCCACAGCATTAAACCAAGAATACAAGGTAAAGTAAAATGTTTCTCTTATCCGCTCTCTTCTCTTTGTTTGGTTTTCGAAGCAACAGTTGTTCCTTTCTCTCAACACGCACCAAACAATGCAGCCCGGGATAAGGTGCCATGCTAGTTTGCTATCCTTATCTCGAAATTTTCTACGTCATGCCCGTATCACGTCCTCTATACGATGAGGCATCACCCAATCCATAGATTGTGAACTGATTATACTGTTCCAAATCCAACGTGATAGGTAATCAAATAATTTTATTACTTAAAAGAGAATACACGGCGGTGTACAATCACTTTAAGCTATTAAGGAAAAACATGAAATTAGGCAACCCATCTACAAGATTTCTAGCCACAGCATTAAACCAAGAATACAAGGTAAAGTAAAATGTTTCTCTTATCCGCTCTCTTGTCTTTGTTTGGTCTTCGAAGCAACAGTTGTTCCTTTCTCTCAACACGCACCAAACAATGCAGCCCAGGATAAGGTGTCATGCTAGTTTGCTATCCTTATCCCGAAATTTTCTACGTCATGCCCGTATCACGTCCTCTATACGACGAAGCATCACCCAATCCATAGATTGTGAACTGATTATACTGTTCCAAATCCAACGTACACCATCACAATGAATGAACAAATGATCGATCGTCTCCCCATCCTTCTTGCACATATAACACCACTCGGTTGCATAAAAGCCTTTACGACGAAGATTATCCACCGTTGAGACCTGTCCCCTCACAACTGTCCACAATAGGAATGCCATCCGAGGAGGCAATTTACACTGCCATACCAACTTCCAGGGGAATGAATTATTCACACATCCCATGAGGGAACCAAAGTACGAGCGAACCGAAAAAATGCCATCCTGTGCTGTCCTCCACCTGATGCAATCCCTCTCTCCAACCCGAATTTGGACCTCATGTAAAATGGTCATAAACAGCGAATAATCTTCCAATTCCCAATCCTGAAGATCCCTCCCAAAATTAATATTCCAGCTATAGCTCCCATTATGAATGTCTAAGAGATCACTCACCATGACAGTGGACACTGAGGCAATACGATACAAAGAAGGGAATCTCTCCTTCAACGGTTGATCTCCGCACCAACAATCATCCCAAAATTTAATCTCATTACCATTTCCAACCACAAACTTCAGTTTGTCCAAAAATGCTCCGAGGAGGCAATTTACACTGCCATACCAACTTCCAGGGGAATGAATTCTTCACACATCCCATGAGGGAACCAAAGTACTAGCGAACCGAAAAAATGCCATCCTGTGCTGTCCTCCACCTAATGCAATCCCTCTCTCCAACCCGAATGTAAAATGGTCATAAACAGCGAATAATCTTCCAATTCCCAATCCTGAAGATCCCTCCCAAAAGTAATATTCCAGCTATAGCTGCTCAAATGTACACCATCCCCCATCGGTCACACCATACTTCGCTCCAATTATTTCTCTCCAGAAGCTGTCCCTCTCCACTCTAAATCGCCACAACCACTTGCCTAATAAGGCTTTATTGAACAACACAAGGCTCCTCACCCCAAGACCCCCCATCCTCATCGGCAAACAAACAACTCCCCAATTGACCAAATGGAGTCTCCTCTCCTCTCCCAACCCTGCCCACAGAAATTCTCTTTGAAGCCTCTCTAATCTCTTTGCCACTGCAATCGGAATGGGGAACAATGACAAAAAGTAAGTAGGGAGATTGGAGAGAGTGGATTTAATGAGAGTAAGTCTACCTCCCTTAGAAAGGTACATACGCTCCACCCTGCTAACCTTCTCTCCATCCTTTCCACAATACCGTTCCAGATATGGGTACTTTTAAATCGTGCCCCTAACAGGAGTCCTAGATATGACATCGGCAACTGCGCAACCTTACAACCCAATATATCAGCCAGCTCCTCGACATTATTGACCTCCCCAACTGGAATAGCCTCAGACTTCCCCAAATTGATTTTTAAACCAGACACCACTTCAAAACATAAAAGCAGACGGCGCAAGTTCCTGAATTGTTCAACATCTGCATGACATAAGATCAACGTGTCATCTGCAAATAACAGATGAGACACCTGCAATTGATCAACCATAAAACCCCTTACCAAACCCGCTCTCACTGCTCTTTCAATCATCCTACTGAGAGCCTCCATCACAATGACAAATAACAATGGGGACAATGGATCCCCTTGTCTCAAGCCTCTACTGCTCCGGAAATAACCCTCTGGTGTTCCGTTGACCAAAACTAAGAATGAAACAGTAGAAATACAGAATTGAATCCATTTACACCATTTATCCCCAAAGCCACAGCGCCTGAGCATATATAACCAGAAACCCCAATTCACATGGTCGTAAGCCTTCTGAATATCTAGCATACAAAGCATCCCTGGGGCCCTTAGGCGCATTCTTGAATCTATGCATTCATTCGCTATAAGCACAGAGTCCAAAATCTGACGCCCTTTTACAAATGCATTTTGAAACTTAGACACTACTTTTCCCAGCGCCTCCTTTAATCTGTTTGCCAGAACTTTCGAAATAATCTTATACACCCCGCTGACAAGGCTAATGGGGCGAAAGTCCTTAATATCAGTCGCTCCCGATTTCTTAGGGATGAGCACAATAAATGTGGCATTAGAACTTCTCTGGAATCTGCCACGTTCAAAAAAATAAGATAAAGTATTCACAATGTCCAGTCGAACCACATCCCAACACGCTTTGTAGAATGAGAACGAGAAACCGTCCGGTCCCGAGGCCTTATCATCGTTCATGCTGAAAACAACCTCCTTCATTTCATCCTCCCCAAATGGTCTCTCCATCCATCGGGCATCATCCTCAGTGATTGTAGAAAAGTGCAATCCCTCCAATTCTGGCCTCCATTGAAATTGCTCCCAATAGAGGTTCTGATAAAAATTAACCAGTTGGCTTCCAATTTCCTGTGGTTCCTCATAAGTAACCCCATCCTCCTCCAAAACTGTGATGGAGTTGCTCCTCCTATTAGAATTGGTGACCCTGTGGAAGAATTTAGTGCATTTATCCCCCTCTTTCAACCAAGTAACTCTAGATTTCTGTCGCCAATTGATCTCCTCCATCTCCACCAACCTCTCCATCTCTTCATTTAATACTCTATGTCTCTCATTCTCCTCCCCAGTCAACCCCTAACTCTCCTCCCCCCTATAAAATTCCTCTATCTCTGACAGACACTGATTTTTATTGCAATTAACATTGCCTACAACTTTCTCATTCCATTTCTTTAAGTCCCCTTTCAACGCCTTTAGCTTCTGATCCAATACAAAACAGGGAGACCACTGACTTCATAGGAAATCCACCACGTCTATACTCGCTCCCTAAAACCTTCAACTTTTAACCACATCTTCTTAAACCTGAAAGGTCTTCTTCCACCACCCCTTCTATTCCCCGATAACATAATAGGAAAATGATCCGAGTATATCCTCCCCAATCTTCTCTGAGTGACATCTGAATATTTAGACTCCCACTCCCCACAAATCAAGAACCTATCAATACAAGACAGAACGGGTCGATCCCGATTGGATGACCAGGTAAAATCTCCCCCAATCATAGGTAAATCCACCAACAAATTCTCCCTAATAAAATCTGAGAACTCCTCCATTGCCCTAGTTAGTCTCCCACCACTCGACCTCTCCGAAGGAAATCGAATCACATTGAAATCACCCCCAATACATGTAGCGAGATTCCACCAAGCCCTCATTCCAGCCAGTTCATCCCACAAACCCACTCTACTGTCATCAGAATTAGGCCCACAAACTCCTGTGAACATCCACCGAAATCCATCCTCACAATTTTTGAAAGAAATCGATATAGAAAACACCCCTATACTCACCTCCTTCATCTCAAGCACTCTAGTGTCCCACATCACCAACACGCCTCCTGAAACCCCTGATAACCCCAAAAACTAATATCCAACATGATCTCCCCCCCCATAAACTACGAATCACCGCCCTCGAGATGAACTTCATCTTAGTTTCTTGTAGGCAAACAAAATTTGCCCCCCATCCCCTTAGCAAATGACGAACACCAAGCCTTTTACTAACCTCATTGAGACCCCTTACGTTCCAGCTAATGAGTTTTGGCATCATTGTAACACTCCATAACCCCTCCCCATTGTTCCTTTCTTGGACTCGCCACCCTTACCAGCATAGTTTACTGACCATTCGAGCCTCTTAAGTTCACGATCACCCTTTTTTCTTAATTTACTTCCATGTGTACTGATGTCTTGTCCCCTATTAGCCTCCAGCTCCTCGAATAATTGTAACAATCTACTTTCATACCCATCACATGACACGCCAACCAACTTACTGAATTCCTAAATTTTTTGTAGCACCCAGTTTGAAGGTGGGTGACCAACTTCTAACACATCAGCTCCTGAAGTATCCTCACCTTGATAGCCCTCGAGATGATCAAAGGACCGTTCTTTCTCTTCCACCACTGGTATAATGTCACTGTCACTTTCTTCTTTCTTGGCACCACCTACCCATAACACCAAAGCTTTTTCGGTCCCCATATCGTTATCTTTTGTCCTCCTATTATAAGTGTTCGTAATCCTTGATGTCATCTGTGTATCGTTGTTTTCTTTCACTGTGTCCATTAACAATTTCTCCAAGTTCACCATACTGAACTCCCCTTCCTTAGACAGCGGTTCCTTTTCTCGTTCAACTGCAATCCCTGTGTCTACTTCAGTTCGGTTGACCCCCACAAAGTCAACCTCGTCATCGTTTTCATGGTATCCCGCTTCCATCCTCACCTAAGAATCACAATGTTGCATGTTCTGTAATTGGTGGTAGTTCCTCATGAGTCAATCTCGATACGTGTATTTCACCGGTTTGATCCTCATCCAACTCAACCCCACACTTGTGACAACATACCAATTTCATGGGCTCCATTTCAGGCCCGCTTCCAACCAGTCTAAGTAATTCATCTAATGCTCCTTTCAACTCCTGCGCACGGGTCATTATTTCAGCCCTACTCAAACAAATGTCGTGACCTTCGTTATCACCGACTTTATTTCTCCTTTCCTTTTGCTGAAGCATTCGTTGGTTGGCATTCTCTGAGGTCTGTGAGTTTACTGTAATTTCTGCGTAAGTCATCCTTTGTTTGTTTCGTTGAATCACCGTTTGTCGTTTGGCCTTATCCCTAGCAACAAATGAGTCAACAACTGCTTGAAACACCTGCAAGACCGACGCCCATCCCTCTCCATTTGCACCTTCTGGTATCATGACAACTCCTTTCCGATGCCTCTCCCCATATTGTGCTATCATTAAATATCTGCCTCGATGGTTCACACACCGTTGTGCTAAGAAAGCTCTTGAAGACTCATTGAACTTAAAAACACATTCCTCAAATTCACTTCTCTTCCTCAATCTGTCTACCATATTCACCATCCAAATAGCACCATACCTTCCCATAAAGATTGAATCCGATAACTTCGAACCCCATTCTATCAACTTCACAGTGCCAGAATCGTTAATAGATACTGCGAAGTCCTTCGCCTCCACTCTGAAACGATGATTGAATACCAAACTACGCACATCCGCCAATTTTTTCCCCTGATTGTGTACTAGCAATTCATCAAATGGAGGAACGGACAAGCCAATTGATCTCGGGGCAGCAGGCTGCCGTTGCAGGTTTCCCGACGGCGGCGCGTGTGGGAGGCAGGATTTTTTATTTTTTATTTTTTGGAATGCTATTGTGTGGGATTTCTCCTAATTGCAGCATCTGGTTAGTGATATATTGGTGAATTTTTGGCTGGTGCATTGGTCATTAGAGCTTTTGTTGGAGCATGAATTATGTGTTCGACTAAGTTCTCCCGACTGATAGAGCTCATTGTGTGGTCGGCACACTTCGTGAATTCCTGTTGGAATTTCTTATTGGGGTGTGAGCTCTCTAGAGTGGCTTTGAAGTGTTCTTGGAGTGGTTTTTGGTTTTTTCTGCACTATTTGTTGTTCTTGATCTCTAATTGTCACTATTTTCCATAGATGATTACTGCGATACGAGCATTGACATTGCCGTCAATTTTTAATTGCATATTGATGCTTTTATCGGTATGAATTTGAAGGGGATGTCAATGAGATTGAATAAGATTATGGAGATCGGCAAAGATCGTCCATATTACCATTATAATTGTACCATATATAGCCCCCGTTTATTTCTCATTTTTGGAAGAATGAGAATGCAAAATATTGTCGTTACGGGCCCCACACAAGAGATAAAAATTCAAATTTGGTGGCTTGATGTGATGGATAACGGTCATATTTTTCATTTTAATGAGAAAATAATGGGAACCAAACAAGGGCATAGATAGATTGCTTTTACCATATTTAGATTATATAATCCATACTGCACCCAACGTAAAACTTGTGATTGGTAGTAAAACACCGATTTGCTTGTGTAACTATATAATTTAATGATGTTCTAAGGGAAGATTATTCAGCAAATTATTTGACAAATTTTGGTGCACAAGGAAAGTTCAATGCTATGGATCAAAAGATACTTGAACTAAATTTGTCTAAAAATAATACTCTCACATTTGAAAAGAGTCAAGGGTCAAATCATGGTTTATAAGCGGACAAAGCAAGTGGAGGTTGATAGACATTTTGTTAAAGAAAAGCTCGACCCCTACAAGTTTGCCTCTATATGTTTTATCTTCAGCCAGCAATTATGCTACCTTTCCTAAATGACGCAAATTCTCCATTCAATTCAAATAAGATTGTTCCATGAAATGAACTGTTAGAAAGACTATTGGATTACAAGTCCCCATATTTATCAAAACATATGATGATTCCCCAATTCAAGATTGCTCTAGCTATCCATCCTAAGTCTGTCCATGTTTCCTTTTCCGATTTTATGGCAAAAGGACTCTAAAGGATGACGTACTTTGTTTGAATGAAAAGGTAATAAGAGGGCCTACTTTGGAGAGACGCCATACAAAGGGTTGAAGTAATTAAATTGGAAAGCATTGTGAGCTCCAGTATGTGATGAGAATGTATAGCAGGAGGCAACAGTGAAGTTGAAGCAAGTAAAGGCAAAGAAGGGATTGGAACAGCATTAAATTTCAGGTCATGACATATTGGAAAGATGTGGGAAGTCTTAGTATTTGCATTAACTTTGATAGGGAATATGACCAGAACTTTTGGATTTGTCAGTTGTGAATTCAGAGGATGATGATTGTCATGGGAAGACAATCTAAAATTAAGAGAAACCTGCACATTTGAGAACTACAGTACTGGGAACACCTTGCACATGTTTATGAGCAATCTATAAAGCGCACAAAAATGAGACTTCTTACCCGTAACATCAGTTTTTGATATTTCAATGAGATCCGTTTCTTCTTCTTCTTTTTTCTTTTTTCTTTTTTTTTTCCTTTTTTTTTTTCTTTATTGTCTTTTTGAGTACTATTCGGGAGACTAGAGCATCTCATCGTTAATTTCATGATTCATCATCCAAGACATCTTTGACATTAAATTTTATTGCCTTCTTTGTCTTGTGCAACAGGGCTTGTTAGACTCAATTTCTGGTCTTCAAGGTAAAATTGCAACATATCACTTTCCAATCAGGTAATCTAGTATTTGAAGTTTTTCATAAATAGGTGAATTTTAAACTTTGAGTCCCTTTTAATTTCACATAGTTTTTAATACAAAGAAATAATGCAACTCACAAGCATCAAAGCTCAACATTTCCATGGGTAATCCTGCATCGTTACCAACATTGTTCAATGTTGGAAAAGGCAGCAAAGATATAATTTTGGCAAACAATAGTTAACACTCAAAATATGCTAACAGAAAATGGGCAGTTAAGACCAAAATACTTACATCTTGGTCAGCTTCGAAAGCTGTCCAAACATATCACTCAGTTGTCCATTAAGCTGATTATTATTGAGATATCTGCATAACATGTGGAATCAGGATAAAACTCAAACCATTTAAGAAGAACATAAATATTTGTCGATATAAAAAGGTTAGATTAAGACCAAAAAAGGATCTCTTACAGCTCTTTGAGATCAGTCATCTGGGAAATTGAATAGGGCACGTTGCCATTGAATTCATTTCCAGAAAGATCCCTACAGAAGTTCAAATTGCCATTCATTACTCAGCAGGGCTGGCGACATCCTATGCAGCTTTTACTCAGCCATAAGCATATGATTAAGTACCACATAACACACAGAAACAAATATCTGAATCACATTCACGAAAAAATCGCACAAAAAATGACATTAAAATGCACTCAATCAATTTATTATAAATGTCATAGAAACTATAAAAATGGAGCTAGGAGACATTATGGAGAAACTAATGTGCAACGTAACAGGAAAAACACCAATTCATCATTGTTGTGATTATACTGAAGCAGTAATTTTAATCCGAAGATGGACAATGCTTTTCTCCCTGCTTACATGAGCTTCAAATTGGGAGGAAGTTGATAGGGTATATTTCCGTTGAAGTTGTTTTTGCTCACATCACTGTACTATGGCAAACAAATTGATCCCTGTCAGGTCAAGTTCCATTAATAGAAAGCATAAAACAGAAGAAATCACCCCTATTTTCCCATGTCTAAGAGCTTGGCAGCCTCACAAGTAGGTAACAGATTCCAATCCCGAAAGCTTATAGCCAATTGATCCAGAAAGTCCCAGGTCAGACAGATCACTGCAAACATTTTGCAAAGTCAAATTAAGCAAATAACTTTGTCCATGATTGAACGGGCAGCTCTGCATATAATATACAATACATGCAATATGTTTCTCCTCTTTTCTTTCTTTGGCAAAGTTTTACGCATGTATGTACAAGAGATAAACAAAGAAATCCAAAGAAAGAAGTTATACATTTCAGTAACTTTTGATCCAGAGCATGTGATTCCCTTCCATGATTGACCACAGGGATCTCCTCCACTTGATTTCCAGCCATCCAATTGGGAAGGAGAATTCATGCTGGTATACATGACGTTGAGAGCAGAAACTGAAAAGATCACAAGACATAAGTTGAAGATGCAGTAGCAGAGCAACATAGCATGACAAATTATCCATGAACATTATAGAAATGAGGCAAATTAGAAGTTCTATAGAACTCCCTCCAACCCATCATGATAGCATGATAGCACCACTTCACTTTTTGGATTCCCAAAAAATTGTATTGCTTCAAAAGGTAAACTATTTCCATCTTACTCTCACATTGTACCACACAAGACAAAATTGTGAAGGTAAAAACATAGCCTCAATGCCATTTTATGAAGAACACACTGAATGGGCTTCGCCCTTAAGAGACGTTCATTGACTCCAAAATCTCAATTAAATCAATTAAGTTGGCAACACAAATAAAAACTTAGTTTTGATACTAGCACAAAGAAGAAGAGAAGACAAACAACTTTTAAAAAGAGGCGTATCAATGTTAACATGTCCCTCACAAGAACAAGCTCACCTAAATATCCAATAATATTTGACCTAGCTAGAAGCAGAATAGACATTTGCATGACGCATTTTAAACATTTGTCAAATGCCAAACTGCAGTTGCATGTTCAATCCCAATCCTCATTAACATATCTAGCAGACACAACACAACAAAGATTTGGTTTCTCTTTTTCATATTGTTACTTTGTTAGAATATTTGTGGGTGGTGCAAAGTGTGATATAAACGTGACATGTCGCTTAAAGTTCGTTGAGTTTTTTATGAAATCAAACAGGTAACTTTCAGGAAGCATAGAGTCTGCTTTGGAAATAAAACCCGCTAATTCAAACCAGTGAAACATTTAAAAAAGATTAAACCGGTATAGATGTATGTTTCCATAAAAAAATATTTCAACAAAATGCATAGAGAAAACCGTTAATCTATAAGTAAAGCTAAAAGGACTGAAATAAGTAGAAAAATTGGTGAGTTGTTCAAAAATTTGGTCTGCACCGACTTTAGAAGGAAACGAACCTCAGCAAAAAGAAAACAAAAACATAAAGACAAGAAGAAAAATATAAAAGAAAGAGGAAAGGGTGAAGCTAAACATACAGGTCCATGATTCACTATTGGGTATCTCACTTGGTTGTGGAGTAGAGTGCTAAAGCACTCACGAGTTGTGCACTTGTTACCTTCCTAATCTCCAATCCTTCTCTTTCTGGTATTTAGGATTAGACTGTTTAAAAATAACCATAAGGAAACCCTTAGAATGTCCTAAGCATTGAAAAGACCAGCCTAAAAAGCAGAGGGTAGTAAAAGAAAAATCCTAGAAAGGGCAGATAAGAGTACATGCACATTGGTCGCCCTGAGATGTGCCTCATCAAGTCAACGCATAAGCCTTGAAGCACTGAAAGCATAAGATATGAAACTCCTAATGACCACCTCGCATGAAGTGCAGCTCAAGGAATTATGCTTAGGCGCTTTGAAAACCTAGACTACCCAGTTATAAAGTTAAAGATACACATGTCTTCGTAAACATCCCAATTCATCAATTTTAACTGGATTGGTTCTCAGCGTTCAAGGTGATTTCAGTCTTCTTGACTATATATAACTAAATAATGATTTAGAGAGAAATTAATACGACAACTTCACTAACAAATTATTTGTGGTATTCATTAAAAGTAACTTTCCCCTAATATACATGCTTTAATTTCCTAGAACTGATGTAGCTTAGTTTAACTTATTAGTATTTAAACTAGTTTCGGATTTAATGAAAAAAAAAAATTTCTAGTTTCGGATTTTGAAAACAAGTTTTCTAAATTCGATAGCTTCCACAACTTGTTCCTTATATGAGACACCAGAACAGATGACCCACTAGATTATTTTCACCAATGCACATTCTATCAACTTTATTGACGAAACAACTAATGATATGAAAGCTTTATTCGGTAATAGATGGTTTTCACGTCTTGCATTCTCCAGGATGTCATTAAGCAAAGAAATATAAAAGGACAAAACTGGGTAAATTCCAACCAGCGTAAGACTCAGGCAAGCATTCAGATACCTACATTTAACAAATAGATAAAACGGAGTGCGAGATAGGAGAAAGGAAGTGTACCATCTGAGGAATCGGTTTTGGATTGGACAAAATTGGCGGTGACAGAACAGAGAACAAGGCAATATAATAGAGCCCATGGCGACGGAATTCGGGCGAACGAGAAAGTATGGTATTTGAAGGAATCAATAGACGGCATTATGTTAATAATAAGTATGATATTTGAAGGAATCAATAGACGGCATTATGTTAATAATAATTCATCAGAAGAAAATCCCAGAAATGATGGTGAAACTGATGAAAACTGCAGCTATACGATGCAGAAGATCATTAGAATTTCTGATGACGATGACGGAGGGGATTGTTGGGAGAGAATGGTGAAAGGTGGAGAAGAAATGAGGGCCTAAATTTAGCACCGCCATTTCATAACCCCAAAACGCGGGTCTCTCTCTTTGTTTGGAAATGGACACGCGTCCATTTATAACGACGAAGGCAACTGTAACTAAAGTTTTTATTTAATCATTAAATTGTAATTTATTTCAGCTTCATTTTTACGTCAGATTTGATACACATTATTTGGAAACAAAATAAATTCTTAAATAGTAATTTGACGTCATTTCAACAATACATTTTTTAATAAAATAATATTACAAATAAATTCAAAAAAATTTCTTATTTTTTAATTACGCATTTCTCATCAATACACTATTCAAAAATACATTTTTTTCCAAAATAATATGACTCAAACAAGAGCTTAATTTCAGGTGTGAATTGCAAAGTCCAGAACATAAAGAAATTGAGAGAGAGATCCTCTTTTCTTTTGTTTTATTTTTCTATTTTGGAAAGTGATTCGATTTTTAGACTTAGCTCTTGTTTGGTTTTTATTTTCTAAAATTCAAATTTTTAAATTCATTTTCATTCACAAATTTCATATGATCGATAATTTTTATCAACTTTTCATCACTCATTTCATCAATTTTTACCAAATTCTGATTTTTAGCTAAATCAAATAGAGGCTTAATTTGCCAAGTCAATTATATATATTTTTAACATACATCAAATAATTTTTAAATTCAAAAATAAAATTGTTTCTTGTTACATTAATTGTGAAAATATCTTTGATTTTAGCCCATGATTGTCTCCTTTTAAAACAAAAATTTTTAATTATCATACTCAATTTTTAACCATGCATTCACATAATAAAATATTTTACATATAAATCAAAAAAAAATTCTTACTTTTTAACCACACATTCTCTAAAAAAAAAAAAATCACTATTCAAAATATCTTCTTCTTTTTTCCCCCAAAATAATGGTCATCATTTAATGTTGAATTGAATCTACATAGTTTGCACTAATTACATTAAAAAAAAATTTAATTTATATGATGGTAATACTAAAGGAAAGGATAATTAACACAAAACGTTACTGCCTTTTATTATGATTGTACAAAACATTGCTACCCTCTACTTTTTGGCATTTTCACCATTAATTATTCATTTTATTGTGCAAACAGTCCTCTCGTCCATTTTCTATCAGTTTCTCCGTTAGTCAATCCAAAAAAATCAATTTGACCATATTTTTGAAAGGCGAAATGATAACTTTATATTTTCCACATCAAAATATTAAAAAATTAAATTTTAAAAATAAATAAAATAAAATAATCTTCTTTACCAACACTACCCACCGGCGCACCCGACCAAACCAAAATCATTCCCGTCTCTAACCCAAACGTAAATCGTCAGCCAAAAAAATAAAAAAATAATAATAATAATAAAAAAAATATATATATATATATATATAAAA